GTGGCCCCTTGGTAAGGGAGGCAGATGCTCCCAACTGCTTTTGCAGGACCGGCCACGAGGCCCTCAACATATTTACACAGATGCTGAAGCCCCTGCTGGCAAAGGTAATAAAGCTGCCCCAGGCATCGAATCTGGTCTTAGGGAGGGCTCAGACCCCCCAGGAATCTCAGAGCAAACACCTCTGTGATTACTTCAAGGTAACAACTTGCAGCTGCAGAGAGAATAATTAGCCAGAGGACTTTCCGGTCAGGAACTGTGAGAGTTCTAATTTTTCCATACCTTTTTCCCAGATGCAGTATTGATATTTTCGGTCATTCTCATAGCGTAAGTAGTGGTTTTTAGTTGGGTTTGGGTGTTTGGACAGTGCTCAAAGCTACTCAAAGCTCAGTAGGTAGCTCCTGGTGTGTTTGGGGAACCATGCAGAACCACTAGCACCTGGGCCTCTGGCGTACCTTAGATTGAGTTCTCTCTCTGGTCCCAGTAATAATTTCCATTTATGGCGCTTTTTGTTTCTTTGTTTTAGGCCCACACCTGGCAATGCTCAGAGCTTACTCCTCAGGGGTACTCCTGGCTCTGCACTCAGGCATTACTCCTGATAGGTTCAGGGAACTTTATGGGATGCCAGGGATTGAGCCCAGGTCAGCCGTGTGCAAGGCAAGTGCCCTACCCACTGTACCCACTCTGGCCCATTACAAGTATTTACTTTTAAATTAACATTTCCCAGATGACAAAAAATTTTGAACATCTTTTCAGTGGTTTATTAATATCTTGTTTGTTTTTGTTTGGGGACCACGCCCAGCAGTCCTCAAGTCTTACTCCTGACTCTGAGCTCAGGGATCACTCCTGATGCATTAAGGGACTAACTATACAGGGTTCAGGAATTGACTGTGGTTTGGCCAAATGTAAGGCAAACACCCTACTACCCACTGTACTATCACTTTGGGTTATCTATATTTTATTAATCTGTTGTATATATGCAGGGTGATGTTCGGGTTATATTTTACAATGTCTCATTTTTTTATTTTGTTTTATTTATTTTTTGCTTTTTGGGTCACACCCAGTGATGCTCAGGGGTTACTCCTGGGTCTGCACTCAGGAATTACTCCTGGCAGTGCTTGAGGGATCATATGGAATGCGGGGGATCAAACCCAGGTCGGACACATACAAAGCAAATGCCCTGCCCACTGTACTATCACTACAGCCCCGTTTTTTGTTTTTTTCTTTAATTACTTTTCTATCTCTCCAACACTGTCCTTTGTAATCCTTTTATTTTTTTCTGGTTTTAGTGTTCAGGGATTATTCCTGGCTCTATACTCAGAAATTACTGCTGGTAGGCTCAGAGGACCATATGAAATGTTAGGGATCAAACCTCGGTTGGCTGCATGCAAGGCAACTCCGCTATCCACTGTACTATCACTCTGGCCCCCAGTCATTGTATTTTTGACCCTGATACATTTTTAGAATCTAGTTTGTAAATTTACACACACATACACATATATACATAAATATATACATAGTTATCTACTAGGATTTTTTTTTTTAGTGTGTACTTTGTATGCAGGAGCTCTGGGTTCAATCCTTGACACCACCACCAGGAGTGACCCCTATGCACTGCTGGGTATGGCCCCAAAACAATAATTTGTCCGACTGTTTTTAACATGTAGAATTTACAGTTCATTTTGGGGGGGGGGGGGGTGAGAGGCCAAACCCAGCAGTACTCAGGGCTTATTCCTGGCTCTCTGCTCAGGAATCACCCCTGGCAGGGCTCAGAAGTGCCAGGGATTGAACTCCTGAGCCACGTATAGGGCAAATGCCCTACCCACTGTACTATTGTTCTGGCCCCTAAAATATTGAGTTTTGTATATTGACTTTGTGCCCGGTGACTGCTTAACTCATTCTAAATAACTTACCTTTAAGTTAGTTTATATTTTTTATAGACACAATCTTGTTGCCTATTATTTTTTCCTTTCTAATCCTCATGCCTTCTTTTCATACCTTATTGTAACTGGCTAGGCACTCCAAAATAATACTGAGGCTCGTAGTCATCCGTGCATATTTCTCTCGAGCAATGCCAAATGCTCCAGAAGGGAGGGGGAAAAGTCTATTTTATTTAATTTAAAATTTACTTATTTTGGGTTTCGGACCAAATTTGGTGGTGCTCAAGGGCAACTCCTGGTTCTATGCTCAGGGCTCATTCCTTCTATGATCAGGGGACCATGCAGTACTGGTCAGCTGCATGTTTGGCAAGTACCTTTACCCCTGTACTTTCTTTCCAGCCCTCAGTACAAACAAACACACACACACACACACACACACACACACACAATCACAATGTTGGGGGCCACATCCAGCAGTGTTCAGAAACTATTCCTGCCACAGGAGCAATGCCTGGCAGTGCTTGGAGAATCATATATAGTGCTAGGGATTCAAACTGTGGTTGCTGGCATGTAAGGTAAGCACCTTAGACCCTGTACTGTCCAGCCCCTCAAATAGTCTATATTAAATGGAGTGAGCAAGTTTGTATAAGAACAGTGAGTGCAGGAGAGTTGTTGCTCATTAAATTCTATAAGGCTAGTGTTGGCGTCAGAGATCGTACAGTGGGTAGGGCATTTGCCATAAATGTGGCCAACCAGGGTTCAATCCCCAGCACTTCCCTGCCAGGAATGATCCCTGATCCCATTGAGCAACGCCCAATGACACGTGGGGCGTTGGGGAGGAGAAACTCACAGGAGCCCCGCCTCACGGAGTAGTAAGTCCTGAGCACTAGTATGGTAAAAAAAAAAAAAAAGCTAAGAGCAACAGTGTGGAGTTGAAGAGGGGAGGAATGATAGATTCCTTGGTGAGACTTTGGTGAAATTAAGGAACTGTTCACAGGGAAGGAAGATAGGTGGGTTGGCCAGGTATTTTATTATATGTCCCTCCCAGCAAGATTCCTCTGGCTAGAGGAAGAGGGCAAAACAGGGTGGAGAGATAAAGATGACAAGAGGTCAAGGCGTAGAGGTCAGTTTCTGTCCGTTGTTTCTTTGCCTTCTGGTCTCCTGCCCTGTTTTCTATCTATTCCACAGCATCCTCAAGTCCAGGTTCTGGGCCCTGTGTAGACTCTCTGGCTTGAAACCGATGAGGCAAGACCAAGGATGAATAATATGGAGGGAGGGATCTTTGCCATGTTTTGGAGTGTCTGGGCCAGGCTGGACTTGGGGGAACTATTATCAGTACTTGGTTTTTCAGTCTTTACAGGGGGCATTAGAAGCCACCACAGAGGTGTAGGGCAGAGAGAAGAGTTTAGGAGAGGATGAGGAGGCCCTCAGGGAGCAGTTACCACAGAAGGAAGACAACAGTGGGGGCAGGAGCAGCAGGGAGCTACTTAGAATCTGTAGTCACAAGTCAGGGGCGTTCAGGAAAGGCGCTCACATGGTGTAGTAGCTGAGACCATTGAGGAAGCAGGGACGCTTAATGCCTTTGCACACTGTCCACACAGCCTCCAAGGTTTGGGACTACACTTTCCTTTCAGCTGCTAACCACCTCTTGGACACTGGAAGCTCTGTTCAGGCTTCATATTGTTAAAATTGGTTCAGGTTCCTCTCTGATAACTCAGCACCCCTCCCCATGGCGTTCCGCCAATGTCAAGAAATGTGTGTCTTCCATTAGCTATACTATGGATCCTAAAGGGACGGGTGTACAGTCAAAAAAAAAAAAAAAGCCCCTAGCTTCCTTCCCCTAACCAAGAACCGATCGGGGGCCCCCCATCCAGCGGGTTCCTAAAGGTGTGTCGCTGCAGATGCTCTATCCTCACACTCATAAAAAACCCAGACCATGTCGCAGGGCTGCAACAAATGTGGCGGTCCTCGGATTCTGAGAGCAACACTGTAGCCCACCCGCCAGTTCTCGGTAGACACGTGGGGCGTCGGGGAGGAGAAACTCACAGGAGCCCCGCCTCACGGAAGCGAAAAAGCCGAGAGACTGCGCCGTCTGATTGGTTGGTGGTGATGTCATAGGTATCTTTTAGGGCTGGCCTAAGGCCCTAGCCGGGAGTTCTCAGCGGGGTTCCATGCAGCAGCCGCGCCCCTGGGAGTGTCTTCAGTTGAGCTCATTAAGGCACGCCTCACTAGCGGGACGCCCGCGCCCTCTGCACGTGACGCTCGAGCTCTTTGTCGCTGCTGTCTTTGCAGGCCGGTCCTTGGAGGACCTCCTGTATTCTCTCCCGCTATCCAGCAGCCCGCAGAGCCTCCCCCCTACCAGACAATGAGTCGGCCGTGGGGGGCGGAGCCTCCTAGTATACCAATAGAAATAGTAGCTAGCTTTCTAATTGGAAAGCTTCCAGTTCACCCCCACCCCGCTCCTGTACAGTTACGTCTATTCCGTTGTGCCTACCCATTGGCCAGCCGGGAACCGCTGGCGCTAGGAGTTGTACAGCCCTGGGAGGGCTCGATTGAATCTCGAGAGGACTGAGCTTCCGTCGGTCCCTTCAAGGGGTTAAGGGACGCGGTCGTGGCTGGCAAGGGGCGGGATTCCGAGGAAGCGGAATCTGCAGCTGTGCGGCAACGCCAGGCTTCACTTGGCATCCCAGAGCAATCGAGACCCGTGGCCTGGGAAGCTGTTGGAACGGCTAGGAAGGGGAGAGCGTGGTCTCTGCACCCGCCTCGGGTTGGTCACCTCTCATCCCTTGTCCGAAGGGGCGCTCCCTGAAAACAAACGGTCGCAGCGTGTTTTTAAATTAAAAGTCGCTGGTCAAACAAAGCTATTGTTTAAATCTACTGACTCCTTGAGAAACCCCATTCAGCCTAGCTTCCTCCGTTCCTAGGATTCCGTAGGATACCCTGATCTGCAATGAAATGAGAATGCGCATTCTGCACATCATTGCAGAATTTTTTAGAACAAAATCCAGGTCAAAATTCAGCATTAGTCCTTAGAGAGGGGAACAAGAGACCCGCGAAATCGAAAGACGACGAAGCAGCGCGTTAGGGCGGTGGCTTCGAGCGAGGAGGGGGGATCCAGGAGGGGCAAACTCACACGCCCCATTCAGCACCGCGGGCAGCACTTAAGCTCTGCCCTCACTAAAGATGGCGCCAGCCGCTTCGGCAGCGTGAACTGTCATGCGTCATAGGTTGTACCAACGGGTTCGGGACTTCGGGGCGGAGGTGGAACGAACCATTGCAGCGGCCGGAAGCCATGTTGGAGCGGCGGGAGGCGGCGGCAGCGTCGGAGATGCTGTGGTGGGGGCGGCAAAAGCTGAGGCCGCACGCCAGAGGGGTTCTGACCGCAGAGTAGATGGTGCCCAGAGGGCGGTGGCGGAGCGGAGCGACAGGCCGAGAGGCGGGGGACAGGGGTGGCGGCAGGGGCCGGGGAGGGGGCCCGAGTGGCGGGGCGGGCCCAAGGCCTGGACCGGGGTGGAGGGTGGTGGAGGCCGTGTGGGGAGGCGGGGGGTGATGGCGAGGCGGCCGCCGTGGTGGGGTCTCAGGGGGCCGACGATTCCGGTACCGCTGCTCCTTCTCCTCTCTTTGTTCCCCCTTAGCCGGGAGGAGCTGAGGGGCGGCGGGCGCCAAGGTTGGGACCCGGGGGTAGCTGCTGCTACGGGGCCGGGGGCACGGATCCGCGGCAGAGCCTTAGCTCTTTGTCCCGACCCTCCCGGCGTCCGGGAGGATGGAGATTCTGGGCTGGAGGTCAAGGACCCTGTTCTCGTGGGGCTCCGAGGTGGGGGCCAGAGCGCCCAGGGTGGCCCAGGACCCTCTGAGCCACCGGAAGTGAGGTTGGGGCCAGAGTACGGGGTTCAGACATTAGGCAGTCGCGGGAGTGAGACCGGACGGGGACCCGGGTCTCCGTTATGCTGGCGCCTGGAAGTCTCCTTTTGCGGGCGGTCCGGAACCTCACGAAGAGAGAGTGTGTCGCCAGAGGCTCTGTCCCCAGGTGTTGCAGGCTCGGGGAGCAGCTCGCCCTTCCCTTCGGAACTCCTGGTTCGGCCCCGTGGTTCCAAGCTGTTGTCCTTTCAGAGGAGTACTAGTAGGGGCGCTCCCCACAAAGTGGGACCCATGCGCTGCTGCGGGGAATTGTGGCCGACGGGGAGCAGAGGTCAGGGTGAGAGAATCGTGACATCCCGAACGGAGAGGACAGTTTCCCGGCCGGACTGTTCCCCCGGGGCTGGGGCCTCTGGTCCCGAGCCCGATTCAGCACTGCGCAGAGCGAGAACAGCTCCCGCGCCGGGTTCAGCACCATGCGAGTCGCGGACAGCTCCCGGGCCGGTGCCGGAGCGCATGCGCTCCCGCGGGCTCTTCCGCCGCCGCTTCCTCCCGCAACGCCCCGGGCCGCGCCCCCCGGGAATCCCTGTCCTGCCAGAACACTGGAGGTTGTCCCGGGAGAGCCGGGTCCGTTCCCGTCGTGCCACAAACCGCCACCCGCAGTTTTCTCAGTATAACTACCAGGCGCTGGTGCCCGAGAATGAGGCGGCGGGCACCTCGGTGCTACGCGTGGTGGCGCAGGACCCGGACGCGGGCGAGTCTGGACGCCTAGTCTACTCGCTGGCTGCGCTCATGAACAGCCGCTCGCTGGAGCTGTTCAGCATCGATCCGCAGAGCGGCCTCATCCGCACGGAAGCCGCTCTGGACCGCGAGAGCATAGAGCGCCACTACCTGCGTGTGACGGCTCAGGACCACGGCTCGCCGCGCCTCTCGGCCACCACCATGGTGGCCGTTACAGTGGCTGACCGCAACGACCACGCGCCTGTGTTTGAGCAGGCGCAGTACCGGGAAACACTACGCGAGAACGTGGAAGAAGGCTATCCCATACTACAGTTGCGTGCTACAGACGGCGACGCGCCCCCCAATGCCAACCTGCGTTACCGTTTCGTGGGACCTCCGGCCGCGCGCGCCGCAGCTGCTGCAGCCTTCGAAATTGACCCGCGCTCGGGCCTCATCAGTACCAGCGGCCGCGTGGACCGCGAGCACATGGAAAGCTATGAGCTGGTGGTGGAGGCTAGCGACCAGGGTTTGGAGCCTGGGCCTCGCTCTGCTACCGTGCGTGTGCACATAACTGTGCTCGACGAGAATGACAACGTGCCCCAGTTCAGTGAGAAGCGCTATGTGGCACAGGTGCGGGAGGATGTGCGCCCCCACACGGTGGTGCTGCGCGTCACGGCCACCGACAGGGACAAGGATGCCAATGGACTGGTGCATTACAACATCATTAGCGGAAACAGCCGCGGCCACTTCGCCATCGACAGTCTCACAGGGGAGATCCAGGTGGTGGCTCCTCTGGACTTTGAGGCAGAACGAGAGTATGCCTTGCGTATCCGGGCTCAGGACGCAGGCCGGCCACCACTGTCCAACAACACGGGCCTGGCCAGCATCCAGGTGGTGGATATCAATGACCACGCTCCTATTTTTGTCAGCACACCTTTCCAGGTTTCTGTCCTGGAAAATGCCCCGCTGGGCCACTCTGTTATCCACATTCAGGCAGTGGATGCAGACCATGGGGAGAATGCCAGATTGGAATACTCCCTAACTGGTGTTGCACCTGATACACCCTTTGTGATCAACAGTGCCACTGGCTGGGTCTCTGTGAGTGGTCCCCTGGACCGTGAATCTGTAGAGCATTATTACTTTGGTGTGGAGGCTAGGGACCATGGCTCACCTCCACTCTCAGCCTCAGCTAGCGTCACAGTCACAGTTCTGGATGTTAATGACAATCGACCTGAATTCACAATGAAAGAATACCACCTACGGCTGAATGAGGATGCAGCTGTGGGCACCAGTGTGGTCAGTGTGACCGCAGTAGACCGTGATGCCAATAGTGCCATCAGCTATCAGATTACAGGTGGCAACACCCGGAATCGCTTTGCCATCAGCACCCAGGGGGGTGTGGGTCTGGTGACACTGGCTCTACCCCTGGACTACAAGCAGGAGCGCTACTTCAAGCTGGTGCTAACGGCGTCTGATCGTGCCCTTCATGACCACTGCTATGTGCACATCAACATCACCGACGCAAACACTCACCGGCCTGTCTTCCAAAGTGCCCACTACTCAGTAAGTGTGAATGAGGATCGGCCTGTGGGGAGCACTGTGGTGGTCATCAGTGCCTCTGATGATGATGTGGGGGAGAATGCTCGCATCACTTATCTCCTAGAGGATAATTTGCCTCAGTTTCGCATTGATGCAGACTCAGGAGCCATTACACTGCAGGCTCCTCTGGACTATGAGGACCAGGTGACCTATACCCTGGCTATCACAGCTAGGGACAATGGCATTCCACAGAAGGCAGATACCACTTACGTGGAAATAATGGTCAATGATGTGAATGATAATGCTCCTCAGTTTGTGGCCTCTCACTACACAGGATTGGTCTCTGAGGATGCCCCACCTTTCACCAGTGTCCTCCAGATCTCAGCCACTGACCGTGATGCGCATGCCAATGGCCGGGTCCAGTATACTTTCCAGAATGGGGAAGATGGGGATGGAGATTTTACCATTGAGCCCACCTCTGGCATTGTCCGCACAGTGAGGCGGCTGGATCGGGAGGCAGTACCAGTATATGAACTGACTGCCTATGCAGTGGACCGGGGTATGCCCCCATTGCGGACTCCAGTTAGCATTCAGGTGACTGTGCAGGATGTGAACGACAATGCACCAATCTTCCCAGCCGAGGAGTTTGAGGTACGAGTGAAGGAGAATAGCATTGTGGGATCAGTGGTGGCCCAGATCACTGCAGTGGACCCTGATGAAGGCCCCAATGCCCATATAATGTACCAGATTGTGGAGGGGAACATTCCGGAGCTGTTCCAAATGGATATCTTCTCTGGAGAGTTGACAGCACTCATTGACCTGGACTATGAGACTCGTCAGGAATATGTGATTGTGGTACAAGCCACCTCGGCCACTCTGGTCAGTCGGGCCACTGTGCATGTCCGCCTGGTTGACCAGAATGATAACAGCCCTGTGCTCAACAATTTCCAAATCCTCTTCAACAATTATGTCTCCAACCGCTCAGACACCTTCCCCTCGGGCATTATTGGGCGCATCCCAGCCTATGATCCAGATGTCTCCGACCACCTCTTCTACTCCTTTGAACGGGGCAATGAGCTGCAGCTGCTGGTAGTCAACCAGACCAGTGGGGAGCTTCGACTCAGCCGCAAGCTTGACAACAATCGCCCGCTGGTGGCTTCCATGTTGGTGACTGTCACAGGTGAGGGGCAAAGGGAAGGCAAGTGACCTAGTGACTTCTATTTGTCAGGTTCTTCGGGACTTTACAGGGCACTTCAAACCAGAGAAGAACTCCCAAGTCTTTTAAGAACTTCTTATGTGCTGGGTTTCTGTATTCCATCTGCCATGGATCTTAACAGGTTGGGTTCAGATAGGAATTTAGGTTCTCGGACAGTCTCCACAGAATCCCCAATATCCTCAGGGATCCAAAAGTCCTTAGAAAGAGGGTAAAGAACTATCTTCTATTCCCCAGGATGGCCCCTACTCATTCCAAAAGGTAATCAGTTCCAGGAATAGCCAGCCCACACCACACCATTGTTCAGCTGAAGGCTCCTTATGAGAATCAGGCTACTGAAGTGCAACTCTCATCCCATCTGTATAGAACAGGGAAGCTGATAGTCTAGTAGTTAGGAGCCTTGGCATCCTTCGGCAGAGTAGGCCCACAGATCCAGGCTGCTTTCCAAGGCACTGACCAAGGCCCCGCCCTTTTTGAAAATGCCCAGAGGCACCCTTGCTGCTTTCCTGCCTCTTTCAGGCTTTCACCAGTCCCTCTCCAATAGGAGGATACAGGTGGGAAAGGCTCTGCAATCCTACCTGCTGGAGGCCAGGAGACAGGCATTACCTCCTAATTCTAGAGCCTGCACTCGCAGCACTTCCAGGGAAGCCGTGACCTTCAGTTTTCTCTCATTTACTCAACAACCAACCCATATTGTTGGCTTACTGTGGCGGGGGGAGGGAAGGCAAGAATAAGGCTTATAAATATCTCATTTGTGAGGATAGTCACTGAAATGACAGGAGCAAGGTCTGGGGCGATGAGCAGCTTGCTGACCTAAGAATACCGAGGGGGGTAGTTTTAGGGTTCAAGACCCTCCTGCTGAGAGGAGCTTGCTGACCCAGAGCTCTGGGGAACACGGTTGCGTATAGGACTTTGGTCCCTTTCTGGTGCCATGGGAAAACAGTTTGCTGACCAGAAGAAAAGGGATCCCTAACCTGGAACTTTCCCTTTTTCTTGATGGGGATGTTTTGCTAGTTCTGCAATTCTGCTGGGAAGGGCAAATGGGTGGCCGTGACTGGCACCTCTCTCCTGAGGAGAACATACCTGTTGATGGTTGTAACTTGCTGGAGGGTGGGCTACTCACCACTAAGGGGTTTTCTTGTGTGCTGCTGAGGGAATGACTTGCTGGCCTACCAGCACTGCCTGGGTAAGTGGCTGATCCCAGGTCAGGCCCCACATATTAGAAGGAGGGGAGAGGAAAAAAGCAAACACCTTGATACAAGGGGCTGGGCAACCACTGGACTCAGTCCTCTTGAGTCCCAGGGAGGGTCAGTCACTGGCTGCAGACTGACCACTGCCTTTACCCCCTTTTGACAGATGGCTTGCACAGCGTGACAGCTCAGTGTGTGCTGCGCGTGGTGATCATTACCGAGGAGTTATTGGCCAATAGCCTGACGGTGCGCCTGGAGAACATGTGGCAGGAACGCTTTCTTTCACCCTTGCTGGGCCACTTCCTGGAAGGCGTGGCTGCCGTGCTGGCCACCCCCGCGGAGGACGTTTTCATCTTCAACATCCAGAACGACACGGATGTGGGCGGCGCTGTGCTGAACGTGAGCTTCTCTGCGCTCGCACCCCGTGGGGCCGGGGCCGGCTCTGCGGGGCCCTGGTTCAGCTCCGAAGAGCTCCAGGAGCAGCTGTACGTGCGCCGCGCAGCGCTAGCCGCCCGCTCGCTCCTGGACGTGCTGCCCTTCGATGACAACGTGTGCTTGCGGGAACCCTGCGAGAACTACATGAAGTGCGTGTCTGTGCTGCGCTTTGACTCCTCCGCGCCCTTCCTGGCCTCGGCCTCCACGCTCTTCCGGCCCATCCAGCCCATAGCGGGTCTTCGCTGCCGCTGCCCACCTGGCTTCACCGGAGACTTCTGCGAGACAGAGCTGGACCTCTGCTACTCCAATCCGTGCCGGAACGGGGGGGCCTGCGCGCGGCGCGAGGGAGGCTACACCTGTGTGTGCCGCCCGCGCTTCACCGGTGAGCGGTGCTCGGCCTGGGCAGAGCTCCGGCGGGGCAGAGTGTGCTAGGGAGGCCAGGGCATCGCTTGGTTTTTCCGTTTGGGTGTGGGGTGGGAGTGCTCAACAGTTGAGCTGCATCTGCGGCCTTGGCATCATTCTCAAGTGAGCGGGTTGTGTGGGTGGTTGTGTCGGGCTCTTTTAGATCAGAAACTTGACCCTGATGGCACTGGGGTCTTGCGAAGAATACCGGCTGAGGTGGTAAAGGCTCAGCGGGGCCAGGACTGGGCTGTGGCACCACGGAGGGGTGGCAGAGGGGCGTGGCCGGGGCGTGGCCAAGCCCTTGGGGCTAGGAGCATGTCTAGGAGCCTTTGGTCTGGTGGGTCCACTGGAGCCGGGGCTGTCTAGCTACAAGTTACCTCCTCTGATCATGGCTTGACTCCTAGGAGAAGACTGCGAACTGGACACGGAAGCTGGACGCTGTGTGCCTGGCATCTGCCGCAACGGGGGCACCTGTGCAGATGGACCTGATGGTGGTTTCCGCTGCCAGTGCCCGGCGGGCGGCGCCTTTGAAGGCCCACGATGCGAGGTGGCAGCACGCTCCTTCCCGCCCAGTTCCTTCGTCATGTTCCGTGGCCTGCGGCAGCGCTTTCACCTCACACTGTCCCTCTCGTAGGTGCCCACCATGTATCTCTGGGTGTCCCTGCATTGCCCACCTGCATGTCCCCTATCCTGAAGGGGATATTTCCCCCCACCCCCACGCCCTTGTCTAGGTGTCTCAGAGTACCGCTGTTCCAAGTGCCTGAACTGGCCTCACCTACTCGCACCTCTCCCATCACTTCCTTCCTCGGCCCAGGCTGGGGGGGGCGGGGTGCCCTGAGAACTTGCCTGTTGCTTGCTTGTGGTGGGTGTAAGAGGTGTCTGGCTGATGACGCCCTGCCCATGCTCCCCAGGTTTGCCACGGTGCAGCCGAGCGGGCTTCTCTTCTACAATGGACGCCTGAATGAGAAGCACGACTTCCTGGCCCTGGAGCTGGTGGCCGGACAAGTTCGCCTCACCTACTCCACAGGTGGGTGCTCCGTGAGTGTGCAGGTGGGCGAGGGGGATTGGATATGGGTAAGAGCTGGGGTGGCAGCACAATCCCTGGAGCTTTGCCTCATTACACACCCAAACACGCCACTTGTTTCCCAACACACCATGAGGCGCCACCCCAGAGACTGTTCGCTGTGAAATATAGTCGCTCTCCACCAAGAAGTGGTGTGTACTTCTCCTGTCTGGCCACAGTACTTCAGTCCAACCCGTGTGGTCATCAGTGGGAAGAGTCTGGTGACCACACTGGCAGGGGGAATGATGCATCGGGGGTGGAACTGTGCCTACTTGGGCAGGGCAGGGGCCCTGAAGCAGTTTCAGGAGACAGGAGACCCTCCTCACGCATCCCCCCCACAGGCGAGTCTAACACGGTGGTCAGCCCCACAGTTCCAGGGGGCCTGAGTGACGGGCAGTGGCACACAGTGCATCTGAGATACTACAACAAGGTGGGCACCACCCTTGCATGGGAGTGTGGTGGGAGAGCTGGATGCCAAGTTCTGCCCCTCAGGGGTTTCCTGGGGGTCCTGTTGAGTGGTGTACCTGGATTTTTAGCCCCGGACAGATGCTCTAGGGGGTGCGCAGGGCCCCTCCAAGGACAAGGTGGCAGTGCTGAGCGTGGATGACTGTGATGTGGCCATAGCCCTGCGGTTTGGTGCTGAGATTGGCAACTACTCCTGTGCAGCCGCTGGCATGCAAACAAGCTCCAAGAAGTGAGGCCCCAGCTCCTGCTTCCCCTGCCCTCCCCAGCCCTCTACATACCTCCCTACACCCCAGCCTGCCCAAACGTCCAGCTTTCTCTCTCCCACTGGGATGCTGAAAGCCCATCTCAGCCCCTATCCCCAGTTCTCTTTAGCACCCCCATTCCCCACGCCACCCTAGACTCTTCTCCATCCCCTACTCCAGCCACCCAGAAGCTTTATCCTTTGATCCCAGCCTTCAGCCTGCCCCCAGATCAACTGTCCATCATGAGCTCTCTTTTGTACCCCATAACTAACTGAAGTAAGTGTCTAGTATCTTCCCTAGCTTGGCCTTCCCCTCCTTCCCACTTCAGTCAACTTATTATCTGAGTCCTACCCCCACACTTCTTAGGACCAACCCTCCCCTGTCCCAGTCCCGCCAATGACCTGGACCCCTGACCTCCAGGTCCCTGGACTTGACGGGCCCTCTGCTCCTGGGTGGTGTCCCCAACCTCCCCGAGAACTTCCCTGTGTCCCACAAGGACTTCATTGGCTGCATGCGGGACCTGCACATAGATGGCCGCAGAGTGGACATGGCGGCCTTTGTTGCAAACAACGGCACCACAGCAGGTAGGCCAGAGCCCTGTCATAGGGAGGGTAAAGGCCTCCATGAGTGACCCTAAGTCTGATGTCTCTTGATGGTCTGACATCACTGTCTGGCTTTTAGCTTTTTTGGGTTTTGTATGCTTTGGGGTTAGGCCTAGCTGTGCTTAGGGGACTGTGTGTGGTGCCAAAGTAAGGCAGGCACCTTGTCCCCTATATTATCTCCCTGGCTCGGCCTGGCCTATAGGGCCAGACTCCTATGAAGTCACCTCTTGAGGAATGTGAGTGTAAGGCCATGCCTGCCCTGAGCCCCTCTGGACCATTGTGTTGTATCCAGCATCCATGCCCCTCCTGTACTTTCATCCTCCCTGTGCCTTTGTCTTGCAGGCTGCCAGGCCAAACTGCACTTTTGTGACTCAAACCCCTGCAAAAACAACGGCATCTGCTCAGAGCGCTGGGGAGGCTTCAGCTGTGACTGCCCCGTGGGCTTTGGGGGCAAAGACTGTCGGCTCAGTGAGTGCGCAGCTCAGGGCAAGAGGGCCTGCAGGGAAACGTTGCTTCTGGATGGAGCCTCTGACCTTGTTTCTTTCCCACCCCCCACAGCCATGGCCCATCCCCACCGCTTCCACGGCAATGGGACACTTAGCTGGGACTTTGGAAACGACATAGTTGTGTCTGTGCCATGGTACCTAGGCCTGGCATTTCGGACACGGGCGACACAGGGGGTCCTGATGCAAGTTCAGGCTGGGCCACATAGCACGCTCCTCTGTCAGGTGTGTATGATCTGAACCTCCCTCTGTCCTCTACTTCTAATCTCTAGTGCCACCAGCAACATTGCTGTGGAGTTGTGGTCCCATCAGACACTTGAACAATGGCCCTCTCCCACCATGGTGGCATTGCAAGCAAAGGACACGAGTACTGAGCTCTTTATGCTGGTTTATCCATAGTCCCCAGGCCTGACCTCCACCTCCGACCTGACTTTAAACTGCAGTGCCCCTAGCACAGCAGCCTGTGTGCCAGTTAGAGTCTTTCCTGCTGGCCTCTGGTTTTTTTTTTTTTTTTTTTTTTTTTTTTTTGGTGCCAAAGCCTCAACCATGCTCTTCCACTGAACTGTATCCCCGGCCCCCTGCCTTCTACCCATATATATATATATTTTTTTTTTTTAAATCTCTGAACCCTTATCTCAACTCCTGATACCCTACTCACCCTACTCCTGGTGCCCTGCTAACTTAGAGATCTGACTCTAGGGCTCTGTTTCTCCTCCTGCAGCTGAATAGGGGGTTGCTGTCCGTGACGGTGACCAGGGGCTCGGGCCGCACTGCCCACCTCCTCCTGGACCAGGTGACTGTCAGTGATGGCCGGTGGCATGATCTGCGGCTGGAGTTGCAGGAGGAGCCAGGTGGCCGACGGGGCCACCATATCCTCATGGTTTCACTGGACTTTAGCCTCTTCCAGGTCTGACCTCTGACCTTGATGTCGTCCATTCTCAGTCTTCCAACCAGACTCACTTCATTTGACCCCACCTCTAGTCTAACTCCTCAACTCCCCCCACTGCTCGCTCCCTCCAGCTCCTCTTCATAGCCTTGCTCTGAGCTCAGAACCCATCCCACCAGCCAGGTTGGTCTATTCCCAAGCCCTGCTCCTATCAGGGAGGCTGCCCAAATTTTGTGCCTGCACTTAGGGCATGTACTTCTGTCGCCAGTACTTGGCTTAATGCCTGGAAGCCCTTTCTGGTCTGTGTCCCATTCTTCCCAGGTCAAAATCATGTAGTTTCAGGGTTGGTTGGGTCCCCGAGAGAAGCTTCCTATTGGCCGGTCATCCCCTGTGCTCCAGCAAGTGCTCTGTCCCTCTGAGCAGATCCTTCCTGACCTTTCTCCTAGTACAGAGAGATAAAACATGATTGTGCAGGGTGAGGACACGGGTTCATCATCGCCTCCAACTCCCAGTGCTGTCTGTCCCCCTCCTCCAGGACACCATGGCAATAGGGAGCGAGCTGCAAGGCCTGAAGGTAAAGCGGCTCCATGTGGGAGGCCTGCCCCCCGGCAATGATGAGGTTCCTCAGGGCCTGGTTGGCTGCATTCAGGTAAGAGTCAACTTGAGAAAGTGACTCGAAGCTTCAGGATTAGCAGTCGGAGATTGGGGTGCATGGGGTCCTCAGAAGCTCTATCCATGGGGAGGGGTGTTGCCCAGAGCTGTCAGATGGGGCAGCCTTTCTGTGAGATTAGAGGTGAGATTTTCAGAGGCCATGGTTGATATCCTTGGGAGCACTGCACTGGGAAGCACCAACTTGGGGTCTGGGTTTTGGGGGTTCTGCGGGAGATTGCATGTCAGGGTGGCTGGCTTTTCAGGACTTGGGGCTGAGATGTTTTGACATGGGTTTCACCCATTGCTGGCTGTGTCAATAGGGGGTGTGGCTCGGCTCCACGCCTTCGGGGTTCCCGGCCCTGCTTCCCCCCAGCCACCGAGTGAATGTGGAGCCTGGCTGTGCTGTGACCAGTGCTTGTGCGTCTGGGCCGTGTCCACCCCACGCTGACTGCCGAGACCTCTGGCAGACCTTCTCGTGCACCTGCTGGCCAGGTGGGGCCTGGGTGTGTGTGGGAGGGTCAATGGAGCAGGTGGGACCCAGGTTGGTGTCTGCTTCTTCCTGTGCTTATGGCCAGTCTCCTGAGCTTCCTGACCCCACCTGCAGGTTACTATGGCCCAGGCTGTGTGGATGCCTGCCTCCTGAATCCATGTCAGAACCAGGGCTCCTGCCGGCACCTTCCAGGAGTGCCACATGGCTACACCTGTGACTGTCCAGGTGGCTATTTTGGGCACCACTGTGAGCACAGGTAAGGGGCTGGTGGGGCTGAGATGATGGGGGAGGGGGAAGAGCTGGGAGGGTTAATGATCTATCGTGGTGGCACCTCACTTGGCTCCCTGACCCCCAGGATGGACCAGCAGTGTCCGAGGGGCTGGTGGGGGAGCCCAAGCTGTGGCCCCTGCAACTGCGACGTTCACAAAGGCTTCGACCCCAACTGCAACAAGACAAATGGGCAGTGTCACTGCAAGGTGGGCCTGGTCCCCAGCACCTGACCTTTTACCTCTTCCCTAGACATGATTTGTCAATCCTTATTCAGCTTGCTGACCTCTCACCTGACCCAGACCTCACCTCTTCTGATCTGACTACTCTCTCTTGTTATCCACATCAAATTTCTCCCTTAAATTTTATTTGAGGTCCAGCCTGCCTCTGCCTCTCTGGGCCCTCTGCTGTGACCCTACTCATGCCTGTGATCCCATCCCCCGACCTCTGACCTTGGGCCCCTGACCCTTCTTCAACAGGAGTTCCACTACCGACCCCGGGGCAGCGATTCCTGCCTGCCTTGTGACTGCTACCCCGTGGGCTCCACCTCACGTTCATGTGCACCCCACAGCGGGCAGTGCCCCTGCCGCCCAGGAGCCCTTGGTCGTCAGTGCAACAGCTGTGATAGTCCTTTTGCAGAGGTGACAGCCAGCGGCTGCCGGGGTGAGCAGGCTCTGCCCAGATCCACATGTGGAAGCCACCACTGCTGTGGCATGCGTGGCTCTCTGCCTCTGGGAGGCTCTTAAGGGAAACCCCTTAGACCCAGTGCTCTGATGGTGTTACAGACTGTGACAAGCCAGCTCCCGAATCTAGCAGGATGGGGGGTGGGTACTAGTGCTGGGGTGGGTTGGGTCAGTGGTGGTGCTAACCTTTGTTCCAGCCTGGAACCCCTGGCTTAAAGTCGTCTCTTTTTTTAGTGCTCTATGATGCCTGCCCCAAGTCCCTGAGATCTGGTGTGTGGTGGCCCCAAACCAAGTTTGGCATCTTGGCCTCAGTGCCCTGTCCTAGGGGGGCCCTTGGTGAGTACCTTGAGGGTAGGGCATTGCTGAAGATGAGGGGGACCTCTCGCTGCCAGGACCAGCTCTTTTTCTGGGTTGGGTCATCTTGTTCTTGCGAAGAGGTGGGAGTGGGGTAGGGGCTTATGTGGGTCCCTCACTACTTGCTAAGAACAAGGGTCCCTCCTTGTACTCTCATTGCACCTCCATCTGTTTCTCTTGGCTTCTGGGCAGGATTGCGGGGTGCAGGTAAGGGGGTACGTGTTTGCTCAGGTGCGCTGCGCCCTCCCACTGCCAGAGCTTTTGCTGACTCCTCCTGCTGCCTGAGGCCTCACTGCCCCTCCCACTGCCTGAAGTCCCTGAGACCCCTTCTTGCAGTTTGAGGACCCTCAGGGTCCTCAGACACAGCTCCTCACTGTCTGCGGACCCTGCAGATCCCTCCCTGCTTTCTGAGGCTGCATACCCCTGCTCAGTGCCTGAGATCCCTACAGGCCTCTCCCCACCGAGAGCACTAAAGCCCCCGCTTCAGCTTCTGTCTGAAGACCCCAGAGGCTCCACGCATTGCCCAAGGTCCCCGCAGATGCCTCCCTGCTGCTCGTGGTCCCTGCTGTGGCTGCACAGATCATCTGTGTGTGCATGTTTATGTGTCTCTTTGCACCTGTGCACGTGTCTGCGAGTCTGTATTGGAGGGAAGCTGACTCTGGGTTTAAGGGAGGGTCCTCACTGCTGATGACCACAGATTCCCTTAAGACCTAGATCACTTCTCATAGAACCGCACCCCAATCCCACAGACCAGGGAGAGGTAGTAGTTAAGTCACCACTGGGAGAGTTAAAACTTGTAGGAGAACCAACACCCACTGAATTTTAGCCCCAAAACATTCCTGGAGTATGTAGTCTGTCACACACGCACGGGTGTGTGTGTGTGTGTGTGTGTGTGTGTGTGTGAGAGAGAGAGAGAGAGAGAGAGAGAGAGAGAGAGAGAAGGAGCACACTGTATGTCTGTGTGTGCTTGTCCTGGCCTAGGAATGTATGTGCGTGTAGAAGTGAACATCAGCACACGCACACACGTCCAGCTTCTATGCTCTCCTTTTTTATACTTGATGATTCAAAATGTCTACAGAGGAACTGGAGCCATAGTACATTGGGTAGGGCACTTGCCTTGCACGTGGCCAACCTGGGTTCCATTACATACGGTATCCCAAGCTCTGCCAGGAGTAATTCCTGAGTGCAGAGCCAGGAGTAAGTCCTGAGCATTGCCTGGTGTAGCCTTCAAACAAAAACAAACCAAAAAATTGTCCATAGGGGCTAGAGCGATAGTCTAGTTAGGAGGGCGTTTGCCTTGCACGCGGCTGACCTGGGTTCAATTCCTAGTATCCCATATGGTCCCTTGAGCACCGCCAGGAGTAATTCCTGAGTGCAAAGCCAGGAGGAATCCCTGTGCATCGCCGGATGTGACCCAAAAAGCCAAAAATAAAATTGTCCATAGAGCATTGGAGAGAGAGCTCAAAAGGCTGGAGTGTGTCCTTTGCATGCAGGCATTCTGGGTTCAATCCCTGGCAGAGCATGATCCTCTGAGCACTGCTGAGAGTGAACCCTTTGCATCCTTAAGCACTGTTGGGAATAGCCCCTAAGCATAGTCATATGTGGTCCCAAAACAAACAAGCAAACACAAAACCTGAATAAGTCAAATGCTTCGTAGAGGGATGTGGCTAGAGTTAGTGGTTAGTGCCTCCCTGTATGAGGCACTGGGTTTGATCCCCTGCACTGCAGAAAGAAAAGAAAGAAAAGATGGAAAAGGTGGGAGTGGTTCTCAGGAATTTAGGCATGTAGCAGAGCTGGGGGCTTGGGGTGCATTCCCCAGGATTCATCCACACAGACATCAACTTTCTAGTATTTTCCTAGAAAGTGGAGGTACTGTGATTTCCCCCCTCATGAGGGTGCCCAGACCCCAGTCTGACAGAGGTTGCCTGCCCACAGGTGCTGCCGTGCGGCTCTGTGATGAGGACCGGGGGTGGCTGGAGCCAGACCTTTTCAACTGTACCTCCCCCATCTTTCGAGATCTCAATCTGCTGGTAAGACCACCCTGATGCCTGCCATGCTCGGGCCCCGCTGACCTGGCCTTAGCTCCCCTAGTCTGTGCTGGTCCCCACATTGGACTTTGCCCCCTGGGCTTCCCAGTTGCCTTTTCCCCTAGTTAACTTTACTCTGTGAGGCTTTAGAAGCCCCAGGCACCCCAGAGGAGCCCACATCCCTATCTTTGCTCTGGCAGCTGGATGGCCTGGAACTGAACAAAACAGCACTGGATACTATGGAGGCCAAGAAGCTGGCGCAGAGGCTACGGGAGGTGACTGGCCACACTGACCACTACTTCAGCCAAGATATCCGAGTCACAGCCCGCCTGCTGGCCCACCTGCTGGCCTTTGAGAGCCATCAGCAGGGCTTTGGGCTGACAGCCACTCAGGATGCCCACTTCAACGAGGTAGGTATCCCTGTATTCCGGATCTCCTAACCCTGGCTTCCCAGCTGAGGTCCCTGCTCTCCCAAGGGAGGAAGGGCCCTTAGATCTCCCTCTTCCTTGGTCCTTCTTGTGCCCACCCATGCCTGCTGGAGCTGCTTTGAGCACCCAGCCAGATCCCTTCAACTTCCTGTCCCTTCCCACCTGCTCTCTGCACTGAGCCCCCTTCTCTTCTTTCTCCCAGAATCTGCTGTGGGCTGGCTCCTCACTGCTCGCTCCAGAGACTGGGGCCCTGTGGGCAGCGCTGGGGCAGCGGGCCCCTGGGGGCTCCCCTGGCAGTGCAGGGCTGGTGCAGCATCTTGAGGAATATGCAGCCACACTTGCCAGGAACATGGAACTCACGTACCTGAACCCCGTGGGGCTGGTGACGCCAAATATCAGTGCGTGGCAGGAGGCGGGCACGGGAGGCTGGGGAAGGGCTGAGGCCTGGGAGCTGCTGGCTGAGCTCTGGAGGTGGGCGGCCAGCCTGGCCCTCTGTGCTCTGTGGGGGCAGACACCCCTCTTAGACCCAGACTCTGGCTGGGGAGAGGGTGGGGAGAGTGGGCCCCTCGGCATGGTCTTACCCTTTTCCCCCTGGACAGTGCTCAGCATTGATCGTATGGAGCACCCCAGTCCAGCGCGGGGAACCCGACGCTACCCTCGTTACCACAGCAACCTCTTCCGGGGCCAGGATGCCTGGGACCCCCACACACATGTGCTACTGCCTCCCCAGTCCCCCCGTCCGTCACCCCCTCAAGGTGAGATACCCTGTCACTGCTGTCAGTTCTTCCCTCACTGCTGCCCACCAGGTCATGGCCTGCCCATCCCCCCCTTCAGCCCACACCTTCCAACTCTTTCCCTCCCCGGCCACCAAAGGCCTCTCCTTGTGGCATTGCCTTTTCATTCCCACCCCCTAATTTTGAACCCCATGTTCAAACTGGTTTGTGTGTGTGGGTGCTGGGGCTCAGAGGTCACTGACAGTGGCTCCTGTTCTTCCCCTCACAGTTCTGCCCACAAGTAGCAGTGACTTGGAAAACAGTACTTCGAGTCCGGCGCCCCCACCAGCCCCTCTGGAGCCTGAGCCTGAGCCCAGGCTCTCCATCGTCATCCTCCTCGTTTACCGCACTTTGGGGGGGCTGCTTCCTGCCCAGTTCCAGGCTGAGCGCCGGGGCGCCAGGTACCACACGCGAAGTGGCTCCTGGACTGCTTAACCCTGGGGTTTCTGCCCGTCTCTCCCCAGCCTCACTTGCCTGTGTTCTGGTCGCAAAGATACCCTGAGGTGCCTAGTTCCAGGGAAGCTCATCTGTGCTGGGATCCATATGAGCCCACATGCTTTCTGGAGCTGGGGAAAGTAGCTGGTGGGTGGAGTCTCAGATGGGCAGAGGCCAGGGGCAGAGTTGAGCACACACAGGTGCAGAGAAGCTGCCTGCCTGAGTCTCATGGCAGTGGTGGGTGGGGGGGTGGGGGCTGAGGGAGACCAAAGGGGCTGTGCTGGCCTCGTACCCCAGTATGGATTGGGGGTCAGGAGCTGACCAGTGACATATTTTTCCTGAACTCACCCCCAGCTAGGCTTTGGACCCAAAGCCTAGGTCTTCAGGCAGCCCTGCATCCCCGGCCCCATGTCACCGAGTGGTAGCAGAGCACAGCAGGCACATGAGAAAGTGGCTGCGTCAGGTTTGGGGGGTGTCTCCTCAGGCTTCCTCAGAACCCGGTGATGAACTCCCCTGTGGTCAGCGTGGCTGTGTTCCATGGACACAACTTCCTGAGGGGCGTCCTGGAGTCCCCCATCAGCCTGGAGTTCCGTCTGCTGCAGACGGCCAATCGGAGCAAGGCGATCTGCGTGCAGTGGGATGCGCCTGGCCCGTGAGAACCTCTACCCTGAAACTCTGGGCCCCATCAGCCCCTGGGAGGCCTGGCCTGCCCCTGTATGCACTGGCCCATGCGCTACTCCCCAACTTCAGGCCCCCTCCTGCCCACCTCACTACCCTCCTTCTGGCCCTGGGCCCCTCTGCTTTGGGTATGCAGCTCTAACTGCCCTGTGGCCACAGGGCGGACCAGCACGGCATGTGGACAGCACGGGACTGCGAGCTGGTGCACAGGAATGGGTCCCACGCACGGTGTCGTTGCAGCCGGACAGGCACCTTCGGGGTCCTCATGGATGCCTCCCCCCGTGAGGTGGGGCTGTGTCCAGAGTTCTCAAGAAGTGGGAGTGGGGCAAAGGGTAGAAATTCCAACCCCCCCAGCAACCTTTCCTGTCCCCTCAGCGGCTGGAAGGAGATCTGGAGCTGCTGGCGGTGTTTACTCATGTGGCCGTGGCCATGTCCGTGGCTGCGCTGCTGCTAACAGCAGCTGTCCTGCTGAGCCTGCGCAGCCTCAAATCCAACACGCGTGGCATCCATGCAAATGTGGCAGCTGCTTTGGGGGTGGCGGAGCTCCTCTTCCTGCTGGGAATCCACAGGACCCACAACCAGGTGCAGGGCAAGACCAGGGGACATGTGTCCTGATGACCTCGGCTGGGCTCAGAGATCAGAGATGTGTCAGCTGGGGCTTGGGAGGGTCCAGAACTAAGGGGGCTGTGACTTAGGGCTCAAAGATGAGCGGCTGGCACCCAGGGAGGGTCCAGGAGAGGCTGGAGGCATCCTAACACCCCTTGCCGCCCCCAGCTGCTGTGCACTGCCGTGGCCATCCTCCTGCACTACTTCTTCCTCAGCACCTTCGCGTGGCTTCTGGTGCAGGGGCTGCATCTCTACCGCATGCAGGTGGAGCCACGCAACGTGGACCGCGGTGCCATGCGCTTCTACCATGCTCTGGGCTGGGGAGTCCCTGCTGTGCTGCTGGGTGAGGGCCCTGTTCACTGGCCATTTCAACTGCCCATCCTATGGGCTATTCCCTTCCCCTGTCCCCAATCTTAATCTTGATTCCCCAGCTTGCTCTGCCCCAGCCTCTCCCCTTCTGTGTGAGGTTCTGCGGTTCTCGCACACACCCATCACTCCTATCCCTTCTTCCCAGGCCTTGCTGTGGGCCTGGATCCTGAGGGCTACGGGAACCCAGACTTCTGCTGGATCTCCATTCACGAACCCCTCATCTGGAGCTTTGCAGGCCCCGTTGTCCTTGTCATTATGGTGAGCGCCCCAGAGTCAGGGCCACTGATGCGCAACTGGGAGTGTTGGGGGAGCCCACCTGAGGGTGGGGTGCTAGGTGAGGGGAGGTAGGTGCAGCCCACAAGCTTCCCAGGCTTGGCTTCCCTTTCTGTGCTTCAGTCAGAGTGGCCACACCCTCACCCTGCACAGAAACAGGGGACATGGGGAGGGAGAGGCCCGTGCCCACCCTGCTGCTGTCTCCATCTCATTCCTCTCTGGCTCCTGGCTCTGATGCTCTCTAGGATTCTCTTTCTCTTTTCTGCTTTCTGGAGGGTGTGTTTTGGGTCATACCTGGTGGTACTCAGGGGCTGCTCCTGTGTTCAGGAGCCTCTCCAGGAAGTGCTCAGGGAACCATATGCGGTGCTAGATTGAAGGTAGCTGTGTGTAGAGCGAGTGGCTTGCCTTGTTGCTCTCTCGCTCTGCCCCGCTCTCTGTTTCTGACTTCACTCTCTTTAGTGTGTGTCTATCCCTGGTGCTGCCTCTCTTTGGTTCTGGGCCTGTCTGCCTCTCACTCTCTGTCTCTCTCTGTCCTGCCCCATGCCACATCTCCGACTCTGGGTCCAGATGAATGGGACTATGTTTCTCCTTGCTGCCCGCCTGTCCTGCTCCACTGGGCAGAGGGAAGCCAAGAAGACCTCTGTGCTGTGAGTTAGCGAGGCCTGGGGCTCCTCTCTGCACCCTCACCATACTCTGACCCCACATATGCCTTTGCCCTGCACTCCCTCCTACTCTCCTGGGTCTCCCGAGTCTGTCGTGGCCTGGCTGGCTCACTCTGTCCCTTGTGTGTGCATCCCCACCCAGCTTCCGTCCCCCTCCTGCCTGTTTCTCTCTGTCCTGCCCTGGCCCCCCGAGTGTTGTTCTGCTGCTTGCTGTCCCCACCATCTCCCCTCACTCAATCCATGTTTCTGTGAGTCTCTTTCATCCCACGTGTCCCGTGTGACACATGCGTGCCCTCCGGGTGTCTCTCCATGTTCCCTTGGCAGAACCCTCCGAAGCTCCTTTCTGCTCCTTCTGCTGGTCAGTGCCTCCTGGGTTTTTGGCCTCCTAGCAGTCAACCACAGCGTCCTAGCCTTCCACTACCTCCACGCTGGACTCTGTGGGCTCCAGGTAACTCTGGTGCCCCTCCCCACCTTCCTGCCTTGCCCAAAGGGTGCTTCAACAGCATGGACCCAGGCCTGAAGTTGGTCCTCCTGGATGACAAACTGAAGCTGGCCGTGGATCCACACATTGACCTCCAGAGACCCAGAGTTCCCTGGCTACTTGCTGGTCCAACTGCCTTTACTCAGCTGGCCACTTTGTCCTGACTCCCTGGAGGCCCCCTGGAGGGCCTCACTGATGCCCCCTCTATTGCCATGATTCCCCCTCTTGCTGATTCCACTGACACTGTCCCTGACTGATCCCTTGGCAGTCCTACTCCACCCACTTCTGGCGTATTTCTCCTCCTCCTGACCGTTGATCCTCGCTGCCCCCACTGCCCACAGGGCCTGGCTGTGTTGCTGCTCTTCTGCGTGCTGAATGCTGATGCCAGAGCTGCCTGGACTCCAGCCTGTCTGGGCAGGAAGGCAGCGCCCGAGGAAGCCAGACCAGCACCAGGGACGGTGAGAGGCTCTGGGGGCTGGGGAGGCAGGCTGGGGGCCCCAGGAGATGGGCAGCTGAGGCGTCTCAGGGCTGTCTCACCCTCCTCCCTCCGTGCTGCCGTTCACAGGGCCCTGCGGCATATAACAATACAGCCCTATTCGAGGAGAGCGGCCTGATTCGCATCACCCTTGGCGCCTCCACCGTCTCCTCCGTGAGCAGTGCCCGCTCTGGCCGGGCCCAGGACCAAGACAGCCAGCGGGGCCGCAGCTACCTCAGGTGAGGAGACACACCGCTCAGAGGGCTCCTGTTCCAGCTGGTGCTGGTGCGGAGGCTTCACCCATCCTGGGCGGGGCTGCCTCAGCCAGCAGCGCCCTCCATGCTCTGAGTTGGGGTCCTGTATTCTAGGGACAATGTCCTGGCTCGACATGGTTCGGCTGCCGACCATACTGACCACAGCCTCCAGGCTCATGCTGGCCCCACTGACCTGGACGTGGCCATGTTCCATCGAGATGCCGGTAGAGGTGGGGACCTGGGCAGGGAGGAGGGAGGCAGAGCTTCTCCCTGGTTTTCCTTTCTGCTGCACCAGGCTGGGTGGAACAGCTTAGCGGAGGGATCAGCCCACCCCTCTTCTCGGGCCCAGAAGACGACCCCCGACCCAGCCCTGGTTCTGTCCCCGGGCCAGTCCCATCTTTTTCTTCTTCAATTCCCACTCCCCAGCCCCTCACCCTGACCCACCCCTCCACTCTGGGCTCTTCCCTGCCCCTCACTGTCCTGCTCCTTCCTGACCCACTGCCGTGCCTTCCTCCTTCTGACCTCCCCACTCTAGGTGCTGACTCGGACTCCGACAGTGACCTGTCCCTGGAGGAGGAGCGGAGCCTGTCTATCCCCTCCTCGGAAAGCGAGGACAACGGCCGCAGCCGGGGGCGTTTCCAGCGTCCACTCCGCCGTGCTGCCCAGAGTGAGCGGCTCCTCACCCACCCCAAAGGTGAGGGCCACCAAGACACCAGCTTCCACTGGGCCAGGGCAGCCCCTAGCGGGAACCTGGGTTCGTGTCCAGGTCCTCTGCTGCCCCCAGCAGCTCGACAACAGAATGAGAAGGTTGACCAGGGGTTACACTCATCCCTCCTTTGTGTTACCTGAGGGTTGGGGTTCAGTCAGCGCTCCCCAGGGGCTCCAAGACAAGTCTGTCTGCTGCCAGTCCAGACAGCCCAGTGGGCACCCCCGGGTGCTCTCTACAAGGCCCCTCATGGTCCTACCCACAACAGACAGGGTGGGTGGCGGTCAGCCTGGAGCCCCCCTGACACTTGGTCTGGCCCTGCAGATGTGGATGGCAATGACCTCCTGTCCTACTGGCCAGCACTGGGGGAATGCGAGGCTACTCCCTGCGCCCTGCAGACCTGGGGCTCCGAAAGGCGCCTGGGGCTGGACGCCAGCAAAGACGCAGCCAACAACAACGCCCCTGACCTGGCCCTGACCAGTGGAGATGAGACCTCGCTGGGCCGGGCCCAGCGTCAGAGGAAGGGTATGATGGCAGCACCCCCCGCCCCCCCCCCAGACGCCCTTTTCCTGTCCCAGACTCCCCATGGAGATCCTGAGCCTCACTTCCAGACCTGGGAGTTTCTTGCTCCACACCCCCGCAGCACCTCAGCAGCACCAGGGCCATTCCTGCTCCAGCCCTGGGAACTGCTCTATTAGATTAACCAGCTCTCAAGACTGTTGCTCTGTCCCAGAATGTCTGTACCCAACCCTGCTCTGCAGAGACCCCAGGAGGTCCCTGACCCAAGTCAAGTCAAGGGGATGCTGCCTCGCCCCTACATGACAAGGCCCGTCCTCAGGGAGCCACCCCTCCTCCTAACTCCTTTCTACCACCTCACTGCCTCCCCAAGGGGATTCTTGTTTCCCGCCCCCATTCACATGCTGCCCTCCCCTTGGTTCTTCCCACAGGCATCCTGAAAAACCGACTGCAGTGCCCGCTGGTGCCACAGACCCGCGGGGCCCCCGAGTTGTCCTGGTGCCGAGCTGCCACGTTGGGCCACCGTGCTGTGCCCGCTGCCTCCTATGGGCGCATTTGTGCTGGAGGGGGCACAGGCAGCCTATCACAGCCCGCCAGTCGCTACTCCTCCCGAGAACAGCTGGACCTGCTCCTCCGGCGGCAGTTGAGCCGGGAGCGGCTGGAGGCGGCCCCCACCCCGAGCCTGCGCCCCCTGAGTCGGCCTGGCTCTCAGGAACACCTGGACACAGCTCCAGGCCGTCTGGAGCCCAGGGACCGGGGCAGCACCCTCCCACGAAGGCAGCCCCCCAGGGAACACCCTGGCACTCTGGCCGGCCGTTTTGGGTCACGGGATGCCCTGGACCGAAGCGCCCCTTGTGAGTGGCTGAGCACACTGCCCCCTCCCCACAGTGTCCGGGACCTGGACCCACAGCCCCCGACTCTGCCCCTGTCTCCCCAGCGACAACTCTCAAGGGACCCCCTTTTGCCATCCCGGCCCCCGGATTCTCTGTGCAAGAGATGGAACTCAGGGGAGCAACTAGACCTTGTGCCTAGCCGGCACCCCTCACGAGAGGGCCTCGGGCCACCCCCACAGCTGCTCAGAGTCAGGGAGGACGCAGCCAGTGGCCCAAGCCATGGCCCCTCCACAGAGCAGCTGGACATTCTCTCCTCTATCCTCGCTTCCTTCAATTCCTCGGCGCTCTCCTCCTCCGTGCAGTCCTCCAGCACACCCTCGGGCCCTCACACCACAGCCACGCCTTCTGCCACGGCCTCTGCACTTGGGCCCTCCACGCCCCGCTCTGCTACATCTCACAGCATCTCGGAATTGTCGCCAGACTCAGAGTAAGCAGGGGGCAGCCATCTGCTCAGACCCTCATCAGCTCAGGATCGTCTCCTGTGTCCCTTGCCCTGTGTTCAATGGTTGACAAATGGGGTGCTGGTTGGCAGACAGTCGTGGGCAACCCCAGGTTTGACACATAGAGCTCAGGACTGAAGCAATAGGCCTTGCAGGTGCCAGGCCCCAAATTCGATCCTTGGCACCGTGGGGCCCTCTGTACACTCTTGGGGGGTTTGGAGCACCACAGAACACAAGCACCTTATAAGACCCAGTTTTGCCGGGCCAGGTAGCACCAGGGATAGCCCCGGGTTCCCAAGCATTCTGAGACTCAGATAAAAAACAAACAAACTTTTTTTTTTTTTGCTTTTTGGGTTAAACCCAGCGATGCTCAGGGGTTACTCCTGGCTCTGTTCTCAGGAATTAATCCTGGTGGTGCTTGGGGGACCATATGGGATACCCGGGATTGAACCCCAGTTGGCCAAGTGCAAGGCAAACGCCCTACCTGCTGTACTATTACTCCGGCCCCTAAAAAATTTTTTTAAGAGAAAGGGAGTCCTATCTCTCAACCCCTGGAACCCCATATGGTTCCCTTAGCCCCATCAGGATTGATCTCTGAGTGCAGAATCAGGAATAAGCCCTGAACATCACTGGGTGTGGGGGGCACACACACCAAAAAAAAAAAAAAAAGAAAAAGTATGCAGGCAATGGGGAATAGTTCATAGGGACTTTCAGTCTGTGTGATTTGGGTCAGTCACCCCAGTACTGCCTGAGCTACAGAGAAATAGGGATGTTTTCCAAAGGGTTGAACTAGTGCAGGGGGAGAGCGGGTATGTTGAAGGAGAAGGGAGACCAGGTGACTTTGCCTAGACTTTCTTAGGAAGTAAAATGGATAAGAAGGGTCTAGATGTAGTATGGAATATTTGCAGTTTCTTTGCTAGGCTGCAAAGCTCACTTGGAGAGTTTGCTCATTTATTCAGCCAGTATTGTGTTCCTCCCATGGTGGATGATGTGGGTAGGGAAGGCACCTGAGCCCAGGCAGCAGCTGGATATGTCACAGGAGTCAGAGAGGACATGGGAGGCATCATCTGGGCCCTCCTGTCTTCTATGCCACGATTCTGGCTGTTGGGGGAGGGATGCTGGAGTTCAGGATGTAAGTTGATTTTTTTTTTTTGCCTTGTCGGGAATCAAACCCAGGACCTCACACATGCCAGGCAGGCTTCCCCGCTGAGCCACATCCCCAGCTTACACTTCACCTCTTTAATCCTCAGTTTCCTTACCTGGCAATGTATCTGTAGTGACAAATTCTGTGTGGATATTTGAGGGTGGCGATTGAGGGTTGGCCACACAAATTGTGATCAGGGACATGCTCTGGCTCTGTGCTCAGGGATGACCCCTGGCAGTGTTTGGGGAACCACATTTGGTGCCAGGGTCAGTGGGATGCAAGGCAAGCACTTTAATCCTGGCACTATCACTTGGGCTTTAGGGGTGGAGATTTTCTAGGCAAAATTTGCTTAACATCACCTCTGTGGATAGTCGTTTCTAGCTTAATGTTCAAAGACATGGGCCCTGGGCCTCCTCTATTCTGTGGAGGGCAGAGCCCCTGCTGATGATTCTAGCTGTCCAGGATGGGTGAAGGGCTCTGAGAACCCTGGGAACCCAATTTTGCCATAAGGGGACTGAGGACTGAGGCTAAGGTGATGGAGAGGTGACTCATGACAGATCTTGCGGGGAGTCCCACACCATCTGCCCATTACTACAACCATCTTTGATCTCCCTATTCAACCCTGCAGAGTTCCCAGAAGTGAAGGTCACTCCTGAGGGGCAGATGGCCGGCTGGATGGAGACCAGTGGAGGGTGATGAAGGATTGGATGAACAGACGAGACTCCGGGAGTCCGGCTGGCACCCAGGCAACCTCCTGCCTGCCCCCCGTGTGCCCTGCTTGTCTGTGGGCATGTGAGCATGCACAAAACAGGTGCAGGACAGGGGACTGAGGGGAGGACTTTTATACCTTTTGTATCTTTGTAACCAGAGAGATATGCTTATGTTATTTTTCGGCTTTTTGTCTCCCAGGTTCTGAGGCTGGGCCGGGAGGGGGAGGGCAACAGAGGGAAGGAGGTGTGGAGTTTGGCTCCCTTGGGTGTCTGGCTAACCCTGCTGTTCCTTCTCTCCTCTTACTGGGGTGAGTCAGACAGGAGGGGCAGATCCCCACCCCATTAATCTGAGTCTTGTCTGGACCCCAAAGTGCAGACTTGATCTTTGCTTATTCTTGGATGCCCCAGGGACCAAACTTCTGGGACCGGGGATTGGTCTTGGAAACTGCCCGCCCAGGCATGTATGTTTCTTATGTGGAGTCTCTGCCACTTACTGCCTTATACCTAGGACTGACGCTGTGGGCCTCCGGGAGCAGCAGAGGTCATGTTTACAGAGCAGGGCTCCCCTTTCTCCTATGGGGAGGCGCTCAGGCCTCTAGTCCTACAGAGCCTCAAAGGGTGGGAGGGGCCACTGGCCAGCCCCCGGACTGCTGTGAGCAGTGGTCTTTGGTGCCATCCTGCCCCCCTGCTAGCATGTACTCTGCAGGGTGTGGTGGGCGCAGATGGTGGAGGGGGCAGGCAGAAGGGAATGGAAGACACAGAATGTAGGTGTCACCACCTCCCATGTTTACAAAAATCTCCCTGCCCCCAGCCTGGGCTGCAGGAAGTGACTCACTCCCACCCTCTTTTTATTCCCTCCCAGAGGGATCCGTGACTGTTAGGGCCCTGGTCACAAGACTCATTTTTTGTTACTTTAATGTTCACAAATGGGAACTTTTATATTAAGTTACTTTGTTTACAGGTCAGGAGCATTTTGCAACTTTGTTTACAATTTCCAACTCTGAACTTTTATACTTTGTTTACTGTTGAGAATGTTTTTTCCCCCCCCATTGTTTACAAATGAAAGTTAAAGTGGGAGAGGGACTTGGGGTCCAGTGGGAGAAGCCTGGCCCTAGTTTCTTCTCTCACTGTGGTGTTCCCTCAGTGAGTCCTCTGTGAACACAGACCCAGAAGACATCATCTTGCCATGGGGAGTAGTGGGTGTGCGGCTGTGCGGGATGAGGGGGTACAGGCATCTTTTCCCCCTGCACTCAGTGGACAGTTTCCAAGAAAATTGAAAATTCTGCTTTTCTGACTGGTGCCAAATCCCGCCAGCCAGGACCCCAGCTCTCCTTACTCAGAATGGTGGGCGTCAGCCCTTGGAGAGTTAAGGGGTCTGTGTGGGGAGAGAAGCTCTGTCCTTGCTACGTCCTAGATTCTGTAGATGTCCCTTCTCCGGGGAGGACCCCCCTTCAGCCCAGTCGTCCCTTTCCCTGTCTGTGTAAATTGTTCCGTGAAGCCGCGCTCTGTTTTGGGAATAAACTTCTATAAAAAAACGGTTCTTGCTTCTTTCTATTGGGGGTGGAGGCAACGGTTGGAGGGTGACTGTGAATGACAGAAGGCCAGGCTGAGTTTTGGGAGAAATCTAAATGCTTTTAGCCAGCTGCTGAATATTCAGCTACTTTTAGCTTGTTTCTAGGAAATTTTCAAATTTCTGCGGTTCCCCCCGCTGAATTCTAACCCCTGGGATGGGGCGGCAGCGGGGGTTGGGGTTATGCCCCCCACACACACACAAGTCGTGATAACATGTGCTTTTCAAGGCGGCAGCACGGTGGCTTGCTAAGGCTTCACGGCCAGCAACCCTGCTCTGGCATTTGTGAAGGTCCCGGGTCAAACCAGCCCTGGAACTGCCTCCCCCACCCCTCAGCCTACTGTCAGCTCTGACTCCCACCTGCTTCTGGCTTCGGAGCTGACAAGGACAACGCCTTCCTCTGAGGCTCAGGCAGAGACCTCTGGCGTCTTGCCGGGCTGGGCCAGTGCTCGAGAAAGGAGCCCCCATTTCATTTCAAGTTCGGACGGCCAGAGAGTCCTAGGAAAGACTTGGGGATCTTCTTTCCTCAGAGACTTGCCTAGGGAGCAAGTCTCTAGGGGAAAGCCTGAGGGCGGCGCCCTCGCCCAGGCCAGAGAAAGCTCCCTGAACCCGAACTCTCTCCCTATAGGGCTAACGGTCCGGTCAGTAGCCAAGACTTCAGGCACCAGTCCAATCCTCGCCACCCGGTTCTCCGCCGGGGCACTGAGCAGACAGCAGAACCGTGGGGTCAGCTCCGTCCCACTCAGGGATCACAGGGCGTCTCTCTGACCAGCCCCGCACAGATCCGAGGTCCCTCTCGTGCTGCTCTAGCCGGCTCTGGGAGTAGTTCTGGCGAGTCACGCGGGGAGGCGCGCGCCGGGTCATCGGGGAGAGACGGGTTAAATCTTCCTCCTAGGGACTAGCCCCGCCCCACGAGCGTCACTTAGGGCCCGCCCCAAAGCGCTGATTGGCCCAGTTCGGTCCGGCCCTGCCCGGAGATTGGCCCTGGGGAGCGCGCCGTAGGCCCTGCCCCAGTCGCGGCCCCGCCTCCCGGCCCCTAGCGGCCCCCCAGCTCCGAAGCACTCGTGCGTCCGCCGCGGGGCAGCCAATCGGCCATGGGGCTTTCCGAAGCGGCGGGGTGAGTGTAGCGGTCGGCCCCAGTCCTCTGCGTCCGCTTTGCGTGTCCTCGTGGTCCCCGGTTGGCGCCCAGCCTTTGGGATGGGGTACCGCCAAGTTTGGAGGAGACGTTTCGCGCTGCAGACGCCGCGGCTTATACCGCTTTGCCAATTTTCTGCAGGCGGCTGCCCAGCTACAACGAGGGGAGGGGGCGGGAGCCGGCGACACCTCGGCCCCTGAGGGCTGTGCGGAGTCACTGGAGCCCCGCGGGAAGGGTAGCCGGGGGGCTCAGGGAGGTGGCCGCGGCCCCAGGAACCCTAGTCCAGGAGATGTGGCCGGAGGGCTTGTTGGGGCCGGGAGGTCACTGCAGGAGAGCCCTTAGCGGAGGCCTGGGTCCCTTCTGCCATACAGCTGATCTGGGAATCAGCGATCTGGCCATTCTGGCCCAGGTGGCCTCCGGAGGGAGGGGCCAACAATGGAAGCCCCGCCCTCTAAGCAAGGGTCCCTCGGTGCGGGCGTGGGATCCCTTTAAGAAGGCCCCGAGTGACTCACGGAGGAGGGGCGAGGGGCCTCAAAGGTCTTCTTAAGACACCGCGATGCCAAGTCTCTGAGGATCTTCCTTGCATACAGTCCACTCCCTCCAACAGGGACATCCAGGTTAGAGGACTTTCCCAGGTGAGTTCCAGCTTCTCAGCGGGGGATCCTCCCCTCTAGATTAGAGCTTCTCACAGATCAGAACTTTCCTGACAGGTGAAAGTTTTCCCAGCAGGGGAGCACTTTCCCCAGGTAAGATCCCCCCACCCCAGATCTCTTCCCAGGGGAGCCCTTTCTCCCATCCCTGGGCACCTCCCTTGGGGCCCAGCAGCCCTTGGGTGAGAGTAAAGATTCTCTCAATTCTCACAGACCAGAACTTTCCCTGGTGGGTGGAAACTTTCCCATCTGGTGAAACTTCCCACCTTGCCTCAGGTGAGAGCTCCTGGCCCAGGTGAGGTCTGTGTCCTGAATAACTCCGCCCCCGCCCAAGACCCCCTCTCCTCCAGAGCTCCTGTTTCCCCCAATCCTGCCTTTCTCTTCAATGGGAATCTCTGGGCAGGTAGTAGGTGCCCCCCACCCCCAAGCCAGAACTGAACAGGCTGGAGAAACTGTCCTGACTGTCCTGCTATCCGGGAGACCCCTTCCAGTTTCCTGTTCCTAGGTGAATCCACCCTCTCCCCCCCACATCCTCCCGTTAGGTGGGAGCTCCCTTTCCAGGCGGGAGCCTTTCCCTGCAGGTGAGATCCCTTTTATCCCTAGGAAAGAGGCAGCCCCCAGGCTGAGCCAGATTAGCTCTGAGTTGAGTTGAGCCTGGAGGCTCATGGTTCATCTTGGCCCCAAGTTTTGACTTGCCTTAGAGGGGAAGGCCTCTTGTAAAGAGACACTGGCCTGAATAGTGGACCACGGGCTCGAGCATGGCATGCAGGACCCCCTTCTTGGAACATGCTGCCAGTACTGGACTCATAGCAGCTGGAGAAGGACCCAGATTGACTGGGGGAGGGAATGGGGTGAGGGCATTCACCCTGGGACCAAGACAGCATTCAGGGCTGGGCAGCCACACCTAATAAGAAGTGTGGATTCTGCTCATCCCGCTGTCTCTCTGTGGGACTTTGGCCCAGTGAAAGTCTTCCACCAGCCAAAGTTCAGATACTGCCCTGGCCTGGGGTGGGGCCTGCAAAGGCCATCTGGGGACTGGAAAAGCTAGGTGGGTTACTGATCTGAGGCGGAGATGTGAGGGAGGTTTGGCCAGGAGTACCCTGACTGTGTGTCTTCACACCCCAGAGAGAGGGACACACAGGCCCTGTTGTCTCCTACACATGCAATGGAGCTAAGGAAGCGAGATTACCATGTGGAGCGACCTCTGTTGAACCAGGAAGAGCTGGATGAGCTGGGGAATTGGCACCCAGTGAAGAAGACCCTCCAGTGGAGAACCTGGTTCCAGTGAGTCTGGAGGGAAGACCCAGGACATTGGTAGAACTGAGGGAGCCGCTGTCCCTAAGTCCTGTCTTGTGTCCCCAGGTGTTCGCATGCTCGAGCCCGAGCTCTTCTGTTGCGACGCATCCCAGTTTTGAACTGGCTCCCTCGGTATTCTGTTCGTGAATGGCTCCCGGGAGACCTACTCTCTGGCTTGAGTGTGGGCATCATGCAGCTGCCTCAGGGTGAGCCACCTCTGATCTGCCTAGATCTTCAAGCTTTGGGGGGGTGACCCTATCCCCTGCTGTCCATGACCACCTCCCCCAAACTGAAGCCCTGGTCTCTGGTCCTGGAACATAATGACTGTGTCCTGGGGCTGGGATCCCCTCATTCTTTCAAGGCCTTGACCTCCAAACCCACATTGCCACCCATTCTATCTCTAGGCCTAGCCTACGCCCTTCTGGCTGGGCTGCCCCCCGTGCTTGGCCTCTACAGCTCTTTCTACCCTGTCTTCATCTACTTCCTGTTTGGCACATCCCGACACATCTCTGTGGGTGAGTGAAACAGGTTTGGTCTTATTGGGAGGGGGCCTGCGACCCCTGTGGAGGACAGGGTGAAAGAGATCTGAGCTAGGCGATGCTGGGATTCCAGAAGAGGCAGCGTTGATGAGGGGCTGAGGAAGGCCCGCCCCAGGCTTGCCTCTCATCACAGAGCTGCAGATCCAGGGTCCCTTGAGCCTTGTCTCCAGGAGAATGAAGATATTTGAGGGTCCTAGAGGCAAACCATACCCTTTTCGTTCTACTTTTCATGCGGCAAAGAATCCTGAACCAGTGGATACAGGTTGGAATAGCATAGATGACGTGGGGTGGGGGTCACTTTCAAGAACTTTGGAGCTCAGGGTGCAGGACTGGCCAGCACAGCCTGTACTTGCACAAACCTAGTTTGAGGGTATTTGACTGGAACTGGGCATCTGCTGTGGCTGTGGCTCAAGTGGTAGAGCCATATAAGGTTGAGTTCTAGGAGGCCCAGGGTTCAATCCCCAGCACCACATGCCCCCCAAGCACAAGTGATTCTGATACCCATGACAGTAAGAGAAATAAGGTCCCCCTAAGACCTGGGTCTTTCCCAGCTGTCGCCTTCAGACCAGGACTCTGGGGTGGGAAGTCTTCCCTGCTTTAGATCCACCCCCACCCTGCAGGGACCTTTGCTGTCATGTCGGTGATGGTGGGCAGCTTGACGGAGTCCCTGGTTCCTGACAACAGCTCCAACAACACCATCAGTGACGAAGTAACGATGAAGCGAGTGGAGGTAGCCTCCACTCTCTGCATTCTGGTGGGCTGCTTCCAGGTATGCACCTCCTCCCCCCGCTCCCAACCTCTTCTGGTTCCTCTGAGGAGCCTCCTCATCCTTTTTTGTTTGTTTTGGGGTCATACCCAGCAGTTCTCAGGGCTTACTCCTGACTCTGCACTCAGGGACCACTTCTGGAGGGCTTCGGGAACCATATGGGATACCAGGGATTGAACCTGGGTTGGTCACGTGCAAGGCAAGCACCCTCCCCGCTGCCTTGTTCAGTCCTTTTCCTCTCTCTCTCTCCCTGGTCCCACCCCCTCCAGCCCCCCCCCCCCACTCTGCTGATTGCCCTGCTTACCCCACAGTTGTTCCTGGGCCTGATCCAATTTGGCTTTGTGGTCACTTACCTGTCAGAGCCTCTGGTCCGCGGCTACACCACAGCAGCCTCCATTCATGTCTTCGTCTCACAACTCAAATATGTGTTTGGCATCCATGTGAGCAGCCATTCTGGACCTCTGTCCCTCATCTATGTGAGTGAAGCGGGAGGAGGGAGGGACAGGTGGGGTTCCCCTGGACCTTGCATGTAGCCTGTGACCCTATCTCCCCTCAGACAGTGCTCCAGGTGTTCGAGAAACTCCCTGTCAGCGTGCCTGGAACCGTGATCACTGCTGCTGTGTCAATGGTGGTGCTTGTGATAGTGAAGATGCTGAACGACAAGCTGAGTGGGCGCCTGCCTGTACCCATCCCTGGGGAGCTGCTCATGGTCTGCACGGGGGGGCCAGGGAGGGTTCGCCCCTGCCATGCGGGCATCCCCAAGTATTGGGAGGCTAGCTAGAGTGGGCACCTGGGGATGGGAGGCCAAAGCAGAAGGAAGCCCCATGTTGGTATCTTCCTGCCCTCTGAAATGGGTGTTGTTTCCTCAGATGAGTTGGGATCCATTGCTCACCCTATGGAGGCTATCTCCTCATACCCTCTGAAAGTTTTGGTTCAGGCCTCCCTCTTCCCCCCACAAAGTGATTTATCCACCCCCTCTGACTCTTTCCTGTCCCTTCAGCTCATCGGGGCCACGGGCATCTCCTATGGCTGTAACCTGAAGGACAGATTTGAGGTGGATATTGTGGGCAAAATCCCTATAGGGTGAGTTCTAGCCTGTCAGGTCAGGGAGGGTTGGGAGGGGGCGGGGCCAGGACTGTGTTTGGCCTCACAGATGCCCCTTGCAGGCTAGTAGCCCCAAAGGTTCCCAATCCCGAGTTATTCGTGAAGCTCTTGGGAAACGCCTTCACCATCGCTGTGGTGGGGTTCGCCATCGCCATCTCTCTGGGGAAGATCTTCGCCCTGAAGCATGGCTACCGCGTGGACAGCAACCAGGTCTGGGCGTGGCAGGAGGGATGTAAAGAGGGGTGCCAGGTCTTGGGGGGCCATCAAGTGGGGAAGGAAGTCAGAGCTGTGTAGGCCCCTTAAGGAACAGGTACCCCCATGGAGGTCTTCTCATGTCCCTCTCCTTGTAATCCCACTCCCCCCAGGAGCTGGTGGCCCTTGGCCTCTCCAACTTTGTTGGAGGCTTCTTCCAGTGTTTCCCAATCAGCTGTTCTGTGTCTCGGAGCATGGTACAGGAAGGCACTGGGGGCAACACACAGGTAGGTGGGCATCAGCTATAGCCCATGGGTGCATCCGTGCACTCTCACCCCTGTCCACCCCTCACTCCACACCCTTCCCACTCTCCCCTGCAGGTTGCTGGAGCCCTCTCCTCTCTCTTCGTGCTTGTTGTCATACTCAAACTTGGAGAACTCTTCCATGATCTACCCAAGGTGAGCCCCTACTCCCGTTCTGTCCCCCACCCGCCTCCTGCCCCAGCTAGACCTCAAAGCAGCAGATCCACCCCCCGATAGGGGAGCCGGCGCACAAGGTCATGGCCTCCTTAACAAGGTGGAGCTCTTTGGAGTGAAGTTTGGTGTCAAGGGCTAGGAGTTAGAAACTTTCAGAATCAGTAGCCAGAGACATAATGCAGGGGTTCAGACATGTGGCTTGCATGCTGCTGACCCTAATTCGATTTCTAGTACCATGTGTGAGTCTCCCCTCCCACAACCACTTTCAGTGTGTGGCCCTAAAGCCCACAAGATAAAAAATCAAAAACCTCTCAGAGTACTGCTGGCGCGATAGCACAGCGGTAGGGTGTTTGCCTTGTACGTGGCCGACCCGGGTTTGATTCCCAGCATCCCATATGGTCCCCCGAGCACCGCTAGGAGTAATTGCAACACCAGGTATGACCCAAAAAGCAAAACAAAAAAAAAAAAAAACAACTCTCAGAGTGAGGTTTAAGCTTTGTTTGGGGGGTGGGCATTGTTTCCCATGGTTTGGGGTGATTCCCTGGAGTCCCTCATGCAAGAGTGGGCTAGTCTCTGGGTACCTTTTATCAGCCCTTGGTGACCCTGTCCCCCTCCTCCCCAGGCCGTGCTGGCCGCCGCCATCATTGTGAATCTCAAGGGCATGTGGCTGCAGTTCAATGACATCTGCTTCCTCTGGAAGACGAACCGAGTGGATCTGGTGAGGGTCCTGGGGCCATAGTAGGGGGACAGCCCCAGCCCCAGGGGCCCCCCTGGAACCTCCTGGTCCTTCTATTTGCAGATGATCTGGCTGGTGACCTTTGTTGCCACCACCCTGCTGAACCTGGACCTCGGGCTGGCAGTGGCAGTCGTCTTTTCCCTGATGCTCATGGTGATTCGCACACAGATGTGAGTCATCCCTTTGGGTACCCCCGGACCCCCTGCTCCCCTTAGGCTGCTAAGTGCCCCTTTTCCTCACACTGTCTCTCCCTCCCAGGCCTCATTACTCTGTCCTGGGGCAGGTGGCGGACACGGATATTTACAGAGACATGGTTGAGTACTTGGAGGTGAGTGGCCAATCTTCATGGGAAAACACCTCAAAGGGTGGATAAGAGCAGGGGGACCCTTTCCCCACCTGTCATAGGCCCTGGAGTCTGGGGATTTCAAGGGTGGAGGAGGGATGGGCAGGGAGGTGTCTGTGTGGGAGCCCGGGTGTCCCCAGCTGCCTCTTAGAGCAGACCTGCATCTAAGCACGATGACAAGGCTCCAGGCTCTGCAGAGGCTGTTTCTGAGTCTGGTCACATTGACATTCCTAGATCCCTGATCATTTCCCCTCTGATGAGCACAGAGAGGGTATCTAGGCTAAAGCAAGCCCCTGGTTGAGAGAGGCCGTGAGGGAGCAGCCCTACCACCCCGGGTTCTGTGCTGAATGTGCTGGAAGCTGGGAGGCAGCTTACGTGAGTCCCTGCTGCTGGGAAATAGCCCCCAGTGCAGGGGCTCCAGACCCAAGAGGTCCCAAGGCCCCCAACCCAGGCTTGGATGGTGGCAGATGGAGGAGAGGTGCGGGAGGAGCCCTGTAGGCCTGGCTGAGGCCCTGGACAAGGTGCTAGGGACTGGGGAGCCCGGGGTTGCCAGGTGGGCCCAGGGGCATCATGCAGGTAGTGTAAGACTGAACACACGCAGCGAGAGAGAGGAGGGCTGAGCCTTGCCATCCTGGGTCTGTCCCCAGGCGAAGGAGATCCCAGGCGTGAAGGTCTTTCGGTCCTCTGTCACCCTGTACTTTGCCAACGCTGAGCTCTACTGTGATGCCCTGAAGAAGAGGGTGAGGCAGCGGCATCCCCCGGGAGTGTCACAGGGCCCCTCAGCTCCCCAGAGCAGTCACATCCCTTCCCTGACTCTCGCCCCAGTGTGGTGTGGACGTCGACTATCTCATCTACCGGAAGAAGAAGTTGGTGAAGAGGGAGAAGCGGAAGCTAAAGCAACTGCAGGAGAAGCAGCAGGAGCAGGCAGGGCCCGGCCCCTCCCACCCCCAGTCCCCAGGCACCTCCTCCTCCCCCCCCTTCAACTTCTGCCTCTCCCTCTCCTGGGCCCTTGGGACACCACTTCCTCCCTGAGGTTTGTGCATCTGGCTGTCCCTTGGCTTTGGGGCAGTTCTCGCCTTTGACTTGCCCCTCTCCCTGGTCTCTTAGGGCACTCTTGATGTCAGTACCAACATCAACATTGAAGACACTGAGTATAACAGTGTGGAGGGCGCCAAGGCCAAGGTAAGGCTGGAGGTGGGAGAGGCACCCACGCCCATGACCCCTGGGGAGTTGTCTGGCTTCCAATGCTTGTACTGGTGTCAGGAGCAGGGCAATAGTGCGGACACCCTGTAGGGCAAGCTCTGATGACAGGCCAGAGAATTCTGCTTGTAGCTCTTGTCTGTGATCTAGACAATCACCTTAAATCTGTCAGTGTTCATGGGTAGATGGGAAGGAAGGGATTGGGTATGGGGGAGGAAATCTGGGAACAAAATGAGGCACTAGGCTCAGTAAGAGACATGGGGTGGGGGGGGAACTGAGATGTGTGTGTGTGTGTGTGTGTGTGTGTGTGTGTGTGCATGCGCGATTCAGCCACATGCAAGACAAGTCCCTACCCATTGTACTCTCTCCAGCCCCACTTTATTTTTTTTCTTTTTTCCAACCATGGGTTGGACCCAGAATATCTCAAGCAAAGCAAGTGCCCGCAACTGAGCCATCGCTGTGCAGACCCTGCGCTCTCTTCCCTCCTCAGACATCCCTGTGGGGGTTGGGCCTGGGAGGCAAAAGCCAAATCTCTGTGATGGCTACACTCTGGACTGGGGCATGCTTGTCTGAGTGTCCCCTGTGTCCCTCCTGCGTGGCGTCCGGGAGGCTCCCTGTGCCCATCAATGTGGGCAATGACCTGGCATGCCCTGCCCTTTGCTGTACCTGCCTGGGCAGCCCTGGCAGTATGTCTGCTTTCCCAGGAGGTGCAGCCAGAGACAGAGACACAAGATTCTTCGGAGCCCACATTGCCTGTGGAGCCCTCGGACTCAATGGTGCCTGGCAGTGCCAAAGCTGACAAGGCCTGGACGGTGCCAACCCTGAAGTCCTTGGGCCTGCCTCAGCCGGACTTCCACAGCCTCGTCCTGGACCTGAGCACCCTATCCTTCGTGGACACTGTGTGCCTTAAGAGCCTGAAGCATGTGAGGGGCAAGAGGGCACCCCTAAAAGGGCTGGGAGGAGGAGGTCAAGGCCCCTCTGGCCGCCACCCCATCACCATCACTCCAAACGCTACTGAGCCACTTGCTCCTTCAGCACAGACACGTGCTCCGAGCTCCCTCACTAAACACCTTCCCCGCCCCCTGCCAGGCGCCCCTCCTTGGAGGAGCCTCCCTCTGAGTCTAACCCCCCCCCTTTTCTGCTGCAGATTTTCCACGACTTCCGGGAGATTGAGGTGGAGGTGTACTTGGCTGCCTGCCACAGTGCGTGAGCTGGGGACTGGCCGGGGTGGGACCACTCCAGCCCAGAACTCTGCCAGGCAGCACAGAAAAGCTTCGTTCTCTGGAACTGGAAGTGGGCAGTATCCTGGGATCAAGGGATCAAGTGTTATAGTGACTAGGGCTATGGCTTCTGGGTTGGAGGTCAGGGGTGACAGAGGTCAGGGCCGGTGTTGGTGCCTGGACCTAGGGCTCCTGGTGGTTCCTGAGTCAGGGGGTGTCTTTGCCCACAGGCCCGGTGGTGGCTCAGCTGGAAGCCGGGAACTTTTTTGATGCCTTCATCACAAAACAGCGTCTCTTTGCCACTGTCCACGATGCCGTCCTCTTTGCCATCCAACACGCACCGGGACACTCTACCAGCACAGTTGCGGTGAGCCAGCCTCAGGCCCTTCTTGGGGCTATCGCCATGGCCCTGGCCCTGGCGAGCCCACACAGTTCCCCCTGGGCTGCCTTGTCCCCCTCTTGTCTCTCCCTGAAGCGGCTCCTGCAGGAAGGCATGACCTCGGGGGTCTAACGAGAGCCTCCCCTCCTCTGCCCACTCAGGCCACCAAACTGTGACCCTGCTTTCACCTGCCTGAGACTGCCCCCTGCAAGAAGACGGGATGGGGCACTCACGAGAGCCCCTCAGCCCTGGGCTGCCTCCAAGGAGTCACCGAGGAGTCCCCTCCTTATACACACACAACTCAGGGACAGGGGTGGGACTTGAGTTCAGTATCCAAGCCTGGGAGGGGGCTGGGCCCAGGCAGGCACTGGCCGGGGCATGACTCCATGTATTCGTATTCTCAGCCTCAGGAATAAAGATTTGTTTTTCCAATGTCAGGCTCCACTGGGGCTGGGGTGGGGAGGGATGGGTGGGGGGTAGGGGGTGGGCATGGCAGTGCACAGAACTGACTGGTTTTTTGTTTTCTTGTTTTTGTTTGGGGGAGGGGGTGGGCTTCACTTTGTTTGGGTCATACTCAGGACCTACCTCTGGCTCTGTGGTCAGGAGTAGGGGACCATGCCTTGCTGGAGATGGACCACATGCCAGGGGAGCACCTTACCCCTATCTCCAGCACCCAGACTTGCTTCTGACCCTGATGCAGGACCCTGGAGACAGAAACTGGGGGCAGGTTTGAAGGTTGGGGTGGTGGGGAAGCAGAGAGCAGAAAGGAGAGCTGCGGGGCTGAGGCCTCGAGGGGGACGTTCAGGATCACAGCTCCCTGCACAGCTCAGCGCACCTGTGTCCTCAGCTGAACAGTTGGAGTAGGAGCTGGGGGAGATCCCCGATGGGAGCTGGGTCTCTGCCTTAGCTCAAGCAGCGGCCTAGCAGGAGCCGAAGGGGGGCCTGGGAAGGTGTTGTGTTTCCAACTGTGCCCAGAGGTCAGAGAGATAGAATAGTGGGTAGGGCACTTGCCTAGCATGTGGTTGACTCGGGTTCAGTCCTGGCACCTCCCATGGCCCTCTGAGTCCACCAGGAGTGATCCCTGAGCATCACCAGGTATGTGCCCCAAAGCAGAAAAAAAAGATCTGCTTCAGGGCTGCCTTACAGTGGATAAGGCACTTGTCTTGCACGTGGCTGACCCCAGTTGGATCCTTGGCACCCTTAAAGTCCCCTGATACCACCAGGAGTGACTCCTGAGAATTTCTGGGTGTGATGTCCCTCCATAAAAATCTGGAGGCTAAAGCGATAGTACAGCAAGCACTTGCCTTGAAGGCAGCCAACCCAGGTTTGATTCCTGGTACGCATATATATATATATATATATATATATGGTCCTCTGAACACTGCCAGGAGTGACTCCTAAGTCCAGAGCCAGGAGTAAGCCCTGAGCACCACCGGGTGTGGCCCCAAAACAAAAAATAAATAAATAAAATAAAACCCCTGACACCTGGGCACGTAGCTCAGAGGGCAGCAGTGGGTCCTCAGAACAGCTGACAGCTGAGGGAGCGGGCAGCAGAATCTGAAGCCTGAGCTTGCCTCCTGCATACAGAACGGAACAGCGATAGTGCCCAGCAGTCTGCTCAGGAGCACTGGAAGAGCCAAGGCCGGGAAATGCTCCTGACCATGCCGGGCTTGGCACCGGGCTCTGGACAGAGCAGCCCTTGCTCTGCTCTGGTTTCTTCAGGGCCTGGCTTGGTTGCCCTGCACATCTCTCATGTAAATCCACCTGTAAATCTACTCAGCCAAGGAAGTCAGCTCTTTCTGTGCCTGCCACCCCCATTTGTCTGCTGCCCCACCCCCATGAACTTCTCAAGAAACCAGAGACCAGAATGGTGCCTGGCATGAGGTTGTGCCTGGTAAATATTGACCAAACGCTGGGCAGGAGTGGAAGGCAGACCTCAGACAAAGAACTGCAGGTGGTTAGACACGCTTTGAGGAAAATGGCGTCAGAGGCAGAGAAGGGACAGCATTGGCCTCTGTGTCCTGGAAACCAGGCTCAGGATCCGGCCTGTCTAGAGCACAGCTCTAGTAACACAAGCGCCCAGGCATGGGGAGCTGTGTTTCTGACCCACGCAGGACTCAGCAGCACCAGAGAGGCCTGCGGGGGCACTGGGAGAACGAAGCTCACACACCTCATTGCCGGGGGAAACTTCAGGCTTTACTGGGAGAAGAGGTCACCTTCCGAGCAACCCCACTTGGCTGCCACGTGGGCTGTGGGGGCTGCTTTGAAGGCTGGTCTTTGATTTTTGTGGGTTGGCTGTCCAGTTGGGAGGGGAAAGGGCTCCCCTTTTGTGTCCTGTGCTTCCCTGGGAGACTGGCCCAGGGCTCTCAGCGCGCTCTTGCCCTCATCTGGAACCTTGCCCAGTCTGTGTTTTTAGCCGGGTCTCCCCTCACCAAGGGCCCAGCTGGAACATCAGCCTCGGAAGCCCCCGGGGGAGGACTGTTTGCCCTGTTGCCAGGCACCCAGGTTCCGGCAGGCACTGCCACAGCCATGTTGCACACGCACTTGTGCCTGCCTGTTCTGCTCCTACTGGCGACGCCCACCCTTGTCTCTAGCTGGTCTCGGCCTCCGTGGTACCAAGTGGGACTAGACTTGCAGCCCTGGGGGTGCCAGCCCAACAATGCAGATGGCTGCGAGGTCAGCCTGGGCTGTCCCGGCCGTTGGATGGGCCTGGGGATGAACCACATCAGCTCAGTAGCCTGGGTGACCTTGGCCACCTCCGTGGTGCTGGTACTGAGCCGTACTGTGTGGTGGCGGCACACGGAGACCCAGAGCGAGGTGAGATGTGTCCTCGGGCCCACCCGGCCTCCTAGCCCTGCCTTTGTGCTTCTGGCTACCCTGTCCACCCCTGCATTCCCATGGCCAGAATCCTGTTCCCTTGTGTCCCTCTGAGGTCCCAGTTACTTGTCTAGCCCCCATGAGGCCTGTGATCACCCCAGCCCTCTCCAGGTCCTCAAGGGCTCACCCTGGCCTTGGTCCCCCCCCTTCCCACCCCATCCCCCTCCCTCTTCTCTCATGTCTGCCTCTTGGTCCTCTCCTCAGCTTTCAAAGGTGACCATGGACCCCAATGCATCCAGGAAACGTCGGGTCCCCATCTCCGACCGCGCAATCCTCCTTAGGGTCTTACATATGTTGGATGCCCTCCTGATCCATATCGAGTGCCACCTGCAGCATCTGGCCACCGAGCGGCAGGCTCAAATAAAAGTGATTCCTGCCCAGTGAGGGTAACGCAGCTCACGTGTCTGCCTGCTGGGGAGGACTGTGGCTCAGGACCGGGCTGAGCCTGCTGGGTGCGAGCTCTCCATGGGGCTCGGTGCCCAGGCTGCTTATCAAACATTGCTGCCCTGCTCCAAACCCTCCACAACTCCTGTCCACAAAGAGAAATGCTCTTCTGGGGCTCCTGGGAGAAGCACTGGCCAGAAGCCAGAGTCAGCACAGTCAGCTCCAGCCTGGGCTCCCAGCTGGGGCTGCTGGTGTTGGTGCCCAAATTATAATCTTTTCAAGGGGAAATGGGGCTGGAGAGACAATACAGCAGGTAGGATGCTTGTCTTGCACAGGGCTGACCCGAATGTAGATCCCCAGAATCTCATATGGTCCCCTGAGCCCTGCCAGGAATGATTCCTGAACAAAGAGTCAGGAGAATGTCCTGAGCATCACCAGGTATGACATAAAAACAAACCAACTGGAAAAACTGGACATGCATGAAAAATAATGAAACTGTATCTTACTGCATATACATTACTAAAAATTAAATATTTATATTCTATTGTTCTGTTATTGTTTTGAGTCACACCTAGCTGTGCTCAGGGCTTACTCCTGGCTCTGTGCTCAGGGATCACTCCTGGAGGTGGTCAGAGAACTATACGCAGTGCTGGGGATTGAACCAGGGTCAGCCATGCACAAGGCAAGCATCTTACTCTGTATTCTCTCTCCAGTTCCTAGAATACTACTTTTTAAAAGAAAAATAACAAATATGGATAGAAATGTAGAGAAATGATAACTCTGTACACTGCTGATGGAAATGTAAACTACACAGCCGGTACAGTAAAGAGTATAGGGGATTATTTAAAAATAAAGCATGGAACCAGAATGACAGCGTATTGGGCAGAGTACCTGCCTTGCACATGGCTGGCCCGGGTTCAGTCCTTGGCATCCCATATCATTCCCTGAACACTGCCAGGAGTAGTTCCTGAGTGCAGAGCCATAAGTAACCCCTGAGAATTACTGGGTATGGCACTCAGGAATCAAAACAAAAACAAACAAAAAGTAAAAGTAAAGTCTAGAAGGATACAGTACAGCAGGTAGGTCATTTGCCTTGCACACAGCTGATCTGGTCTGGATTCGCAGTACCCCAAATGGTCTTCTGAGTGATTCCTGAATTCAGAGCCAGGAGTAAGCCCTTAGCACCACTGGGTGTGCCCCCTACAAAATGCAAAGCAGAATTTCCCTATGACACAGAATTCTACTCCAAAATCATTGAGAACAGGGTATCCACTTGTATGCTTAGTTCATTAGTTCATTCAACCAGCACAGCTGGTTCAGTGGCAGAACATGTGTGAGGCCATGAGATCTCCAGCATAGACACAATATGGAAACAGCGAGACTGGAGAGTGCATATCTGGAGGGCTGGGTCTGAGACCCGGCACAGCAGGATCCCTGAAGCACAAGCCAAGAGAAGCCCTTAAGCAATCTCGGGTGTGGCTCCCAAACCAATAAACAGATAAGATGGAAGTAGCTTGAGTGTTCCTAAACAGATGAATGAATGAAATGGGTATGTGAAATAAGCCCAGAGCTTTAGTGCTATAGAGCTATAGAGCAGCAGGTGGAGTGCTCGCCTTCCACCTAGCTGACCCACATTGACCCAGGTTCAATCCCCAGCAACCCAGATGGTTGGGACATCTAGGAAAGTGGCCTGGATTTCTGAGTGCAGCGCCAGGAGTAAACCCTGAGCACTGCTGGGTATGGCCCAAAAATAAAACCGAAAAATGGTAGAGGGAAGTGGTTACTCTGGAGGAGGATGGAGTGCTGAAAGGAGATAAAAAGGGCTTGTCATGGGCCCAGAGCAACAGTACAGCAGGCAGAGTGCTTGCCTTGCATGCAGCCCACCCAGGTTTGATCCCTGGTATCCCCGAGTATTGCCAGGAGTAATTTCTGGAGCCAGGAATAATCCCTTAGCGTCGCCTGGTGTGACCCAAAAAGTAAAAAAAAAATTTTTTTTCAAAAGGGGGTTTGCCATAGAGGCAGGCTGGGGTGATAAGGAAACTGGGGACATTGCCGGAGAAATGGACACTGGTAAAGGAACTGGTGTTAGAACATTGCACATATAAAACTCAATTATGAATAACTGTAATTCACAATGATTCAAACAAAAAAAATGAAAAAGATACTGAAAACGAAATGAAAATGAATAATCAGGGACTGGCAGAAATGAATGGGTACAGACTTCCTGTTTGGGGTGATGCTCCCATTTTGGTAGTAATTGCACCACATCTTGAATATATTTAATGTTACTAAATTGCACACTTAATAATAACTAAGATGTTAACATTTCTAATGTATATTTTACCATCACTGTCACAGTCACAGTCCTCCTGTTATTCATCGATTTGCTTGAGTGGGCCCAGTAATGTCTCCATCGTGAGACTTGTTACTGTGTTTGGCATATCGAATACGTCACGGGTAGCTTGCCAGGCTTTGCCGTGTGGGTGATATACTCTCGGTAGCTTGTTGGGCTCTCCGAGAGGGGCAGAGGAATTGAACCCAGCTTGGCCAGGTCGGCTGTGCGCAAGGCAAACGCCCTACCGCTGTGGTATCGCTCCATATTTTACCATAATAAAAAAAAAAGACTTCACAAGTCATGAACTTGTGATATGTGCTATAACATGGATGAATCTTGAATCTATGGTAAGTACAATGACCCAGACTTAAAAGGACAAATATTCTATCATTACATTTATATGAGAGACCTAGAATACATAGAACAAATACATAGAACTGAGAAGCTAGACAGACAGCACAGAGGTTGAGACTTGCTTCGCATGCAATTGACCTTGGTTCTAACTCCAGCTCTACATTTGGTCTCTTGAGCATTACCAGGAATGATCCATGAGCACAGAGACAGACGTAAGGCCTGAGTAACACTGGGTATAGCCCCAAGTTCCCCACCAAAAGAAAAGAAAAAAATGGAGTTTATTAGTAACTGAAGGAAAGGGGGAAATGGTGAATTATTGCTTAATGGGTAGAGATTTTCTGTTGGGGATGAAAAATTTCTGGAAATAGAGGTAATGGTCATAAAATTGTGAATAAACTTAATACCACTGAATTGTACACACATAAATAGCTCTGATGCAAGGTTTTATATACATGCCAGTACAATTTTAAACAAAATGAAAAAAATAACATTAAAGAAAAGTTAGTGCTAAAACAATAGTACAGCCGGTAGGGTGTTTGCCTAGCACACAAGTGACCGAGGTTTGATTCATGGTATCCCATATGGTCCCCTGAGCCCTGTCAGGAGTAAACCCTGAGTGTAGAGCCAGGAGTAACCTCCAAGCATTGCCAGTGTGGCAAAAAAAAAAAAAAAAGAGCTGGTGACATGGTTCAAAGGACTGGAGTACATGTTGGAGACCCTGTATGGTCCCTAGCACCGTAAGTCACCCAAGCAATGCTGGGAGCGACCCCTGAACATGGAGCCAGGGATGTCCCCAGAAACATGGAATGGGTCAAGGACAATAAGTAAGATGAAAAATAAAACTTCGAAAAAGGAAAAATCTAGGAGAATAAGTGGATGAGAATATTGACCATTGAGCTAGCAGAGTAGAGTGTTATATCCCTCCCAGGCAGTCATGGGCCTGGTACAGCCTGGAGAATCTCTGAGGGTTGAAGATGGGAGCCTCAGAGATGGATAAAGACAGCAGGCCTGTTAGAAAGCTCGAGGGCCTGGAGAAACAGTATAGTGGGTGGGGCGCTTGCCTTGCATGTGGCCAACCCAGGTTCAATCTCCGGCATCATCTATGGTCCCCTAAGCCCCGTCAGGAGTGATTCCTGAGCACCACCAGATGTGACCCCCCAAAATAAAGAGTTTAGTTTGAGGGTCCTAGAGACAGTATAGTGGTCAGGGTGTTTGCACACAGTCATTCTGGAATCTATTCTATTCAAGATATGGTGCAATTATTAACTACCAAAATGGAAGCATCACTTCAAACAGGAAGTCTGTATCCATTCACTGAAATTAAGACAATTATGTTTTTCTTTTGTGTATTTTCCAAACCCCTCTCGGAGAGCCCGGCAAGCTACCGAGAGTATCTCGCCCGCACGGCAGAGCCTGGCAAGCTCCCCGTGACGTATTCGATATGCCAGACACAGTAACCACAAAGTCTCCAATGGAGACTTACTGGGCCCGCTCGAGCAAATCGACGAACAACGGGAGGACAGTGATACAGTGATTTTCCAAACAAGGAGTCTTTATTTTCCCCCCCAATTTGGTCTCCAGAGCCACCAGGGATGATCCCTAAGTGCAGAGCCTGGAGTAAACCCAGAGCACATCTGAGTTTGACCCAAAATTTAAAAAAAAAAAAAAAGAAAGAAGAAAGAAAAATTAAAAAATATAGTTTGTGGGACTGGAGTGATAGCACAGCGGGTAGGACGTTTGCCTTGCATGCGGCCGACCTGGGTTCTATTCCCAGCATCCCATATGGTCCCTTGAGCACTGCCAGGAGTAATTCCTGAGTGCATGAGCCGGAGTAACCCCTGAGCATTGCCAGGTGTGACCCAAAAAATAAAAAAAAAGTTTGTAATTTAAAAAAATTGCTGGGAGCACAAATGGCAACGTTGAGGGATTACTCCTGCCTTTGCACTCAGGAATCACTGAGTATCCCATATGGGATACCAGAGATTGAACTGGGGTTGGCTACGTGCAAGGCAAGTGCCTACCCACTGTGCTATCTCTCTGGCACCTCAGAATGTGCTTAAAAGGGGAAGTATATTTTGATCTCACATCACCACATTTTCTAAATAAATTCTAAAAGAGAGAGTTGTGAAGATTCTTGCAAATCATCACAAAAGCTACTGCCTGTACATACAGTCTTATTTATTTAAAATTTTTTTTTTGAGGAGGAACTTTTAGACCACCTGGGCTGTGCTCAGGGATCACTCTTGGTGGAGCTCAGCTCACACGGGTTGCTGGGGATCGAACCAGGATCAGTGATATAAGGCAAGCGCCTTAACCCCTGTACTATCTCTCTGGCCAGCATTTACCATCTTATTTATTTATTTATTTATTTCAGTGTGAAGGATGGAACCCAGGGCCTCATACATGCAGTACAAGTGCTCTGCCACTGAGCCACATCCCCAGTTCTGTACTTGACCTTTCGGGACCATGTCCTTTAGATCACCCTTAAGACTGTCCTTCCCTGAGTCAACATCATGGTGCTGGTTATCTCACCCACCTTTCCTTCTCTCCCTTGGCAGCCAGGAAGGTGAAGGGGCAGAGATAAGTGACTAGAAGTAGAAATTATTGGAATAGGATTTGGGAAAGGACAGGGTGTGGATTTGAGAAATGAGTGAGGAGGACGCTGAGGTTGTGAGCAAGTGGGTAACTGATGTGTCCCGTCATACACTAAAATTAAGACAATCATGTTTTTCTTTTGTATATTTTCCAAAGGGCCTTTATTTCCCCACCACCACCACAAATTAGTCTTCAAACATTGATTTTTTTTTTCCTTAACATGGATTTCTCCTGATATCTAAAGATTTTAAACAATTGTATGAAATTTTTCTAAGCAAATGGCGATGAAGTGAAGAAACAATTGCATTAATTTTACAGAAAAGGGGCTAGAATTACCCAAAGTAGAGGACATGCTTTGCTTGTATGAGGTCCAGCATGTACACACACACACACACACACACACACACACACACACACACACATTTTTAAAATTCCTAGCCACCCCCCCCACCAAATAAAGACATGCCAAATAACACATAAAACCTAAAGTAATACTAACCTCTGGGAAAAGTGGGAATGCTTGGAGAAGCACAGTGCTATACCAGTGGTTCCCAAGGGAAGGGCTTGGCCATGCTCTCTGGCTGCCTCTGTATCAGTTTCCTGGAAAATACGCAGTTTTGTTTTTCACCTTTTGTCATAAAAGTGAAAATCATGGTTGGAGAGATGGTTTAAACGGTTGGAGTGACCTGGGGAAGGTGGGGGGAAAGAGGTAGGGTTCCAGGCATCACACAGTCCTGCTCTGGATGTAACTCTTAGCTGGGAGTAGGCCCTGCACACTTAGCCAAGAATAGCCCCTGAGTACTGCTGTGTGTGGTCCCCCCCCCAAAAAAAAAGAAACTGGAGATCTTCTGAATTTCTGAGACGACAAATAGGTGCAGATGAGTCTGTTGTGAAAGTGGAGATCTGAAATGAACTTTAGAAAGGTCAGGTCACTTAACTTGCTAAACCCACACACACAGCCTTCTGAATCTCTTGATTTTCCATGCTGGGGAATAGAATCCAGGATCTTGTGCTTTTTTTTGGGGGGTGAGGGAGGGCAGGAACACACCCAGTTGGGCAAGGATGGGGCCTATGGATTCCTCTGGCAGTGTTCAGGGGACCAGGCTGTGACAATTATCACGCTGGGCCTCCCACTTGGCTATAGCCATTGGGCTATCTCTCCAGCTCTGAGTTACATTCTCTTCTGCATATTTTGTTTGTTTGGGGGGACCACACCTGGCTATGCTCAGGAGTTAATCCTGGCTCTGCACTCAGGGATCACTCCTGACAGGGCTAGGGGAGCATATGTGGCGGCTGGGATAGAACTGAGTTCAGGGAAATGAAAGGCAAGTCTTGCAGTCATCCACCCCTCCTACTGTCTCTACAATCCTCTCTGCTACAGTTTTTTACAGGGGCACCACCAAGTTGCGCTCCACCTGGAAGTGGGTCTGACCATTTGGGTGCTGAACCTGATGATATTGTGCTGAGGGTGGGGCTCTACTTTCAGGTGGTGCTTAGGGGACTATACTGGGGCTCACATAGTTGGCATTTGCCTACCTGCTTTGAGCTAGCTCCCTAATTCCTTATGTCTTCTACTTCTTTGGTTATTGTGTCTTTGATTTTTGGGTACACACAGCAGTGCTCAGGGCCTACTCCTGACTCTGTACTTAGGGATCACTCCTGGCAGAGCTAAGGGGACCAGATGGCAATGCCAGAGATGGAATCCGGGTCAGCTGGGCAAGGCAAGCACCCTCCCCCCTGTACTGTCTGTAGTCCCCCTACATAATTTTATTAAAAAGAGGAAAGCATAGCTTTCAGCCATGTCCCAGGGCCCCAGGATTCAACGCTGGTGCTTTAGCCCCACAAAATCCATTCCGGAGCACTCCCAAGCCCGTGAGAACACCCAAAAACAAAAACAAAAAAAACAAACCACCCTGCGGACTCGGGAACCTGCGATTCGTGAGAAACGTCGTCACGTACTCCACGTCCTACGGGTGTGAAGTATGATGAATTTCATCCCTGCCCTTCACCTCCGTCCTTCCCCCAAGCCGCAGCCCCACGTAGAGCCGCAGGGGTCAACAGCGGGGCAGCAGCTAGAGAAGCCCGCAGCACACGTTCCCTCCCTGGGAGCGAATACTCGCGAGCTCCGCCAGGGGGCGGCCGAACGCCCAGTTCTCTCACTGCGCCTGCGCCGCGAGCGTGGCCGCGTCCTGCGCATGCGTGCCTCAGGCGGCCCCGGGTACCCAGGACCTCGAAGATGGCGGCTTCCGCGGTGTGCAGGGCTGCCGGCGCCGGGACGCGAGTGCTGCTGCGCGCCCGCCGCTCGGTGAGGCGCGGGGCGGCGGCGGGGCCGTGGGCCGGGAGGACGCAGGCGGGGCCGGGCGTGCTGGCGGCCGCCGTGGGCCGAGCACGGCCGGGCTGCCAGGTCAGGGCCGCGGGAAGGTCACGACCCGGGCCGCCGAGCGGAGTGTTGGGGCCGGCCTAGGGGCGGGTCGCGGGGCCGTGGGGCCGCGGGGTCGCGGGGTCGTGGGGTCGCATCCCCACCGCGACCCCCGCTCCGCCCCCTCCCCACGCTCAGGCCCCGCCGCTTCGTTTCCGCAGCCGGCCGTGCTGAGGGCACCTGCCCTGCGCGGCGCCGCCACCCTCGCCCAGGTCCTGCAGAGCTTGCCGGAGACGCAGGTCAGCGTGCTGGACAACGGGCTCCGAGTGGCGTCCGAGCAGACCTCGCAGCCCACCTGCACGGTGAGTCGGGGCCGCGGGCGCCTCCATCTTGGCCCGGGACGGGCGGTGACCTTGGGCTCAAGGCCTCGCTGCGCTCTGCGACTCGGCCCTCACCGGCCAGGCCCCACCCGGCCACCTCCCCGCTCCTGGACGTCCCGCGAGCCTGCCTCCCCTGGACGACGCGGAAAAAGCGGGTGCAGGGACTTGAGGGGGTGGCCACCTTCAGGGCCCGAAGGTTAGACCCGAAGACCTCAAAATTGACTCAGGAATTTAGAAGGAAAAAAAATGTAGTAGTATTATTATTACTATTACTATTATTATTTTGCTAGATAGGCAAATAGATGCAAAGATTTTACAGACAGAATCCTTCTCTTTCCACCCCAGACCTCCTTTGAAGTGGTCTTATTGTTAAATTCGATTTTCTAAGGAACAGGTATAATTTGGTGCTGAACGACAAAAGATGACTGAAGTCTTCCTTACTATCTGTCAGCTGTGTATACCTGCCCAAAGCCTGTTAAAGGCTCTTGGTGGAAGATGCACTTTCAGATGTTCTGGGTTGTAATGAGCACCGCTGGTAAACCCTTCCTGTAGACAGAATACTGTTGATTAGAATCAGAAAGGTGGAGTTAGAGCACAGCAGGTAGGGCACTTGATTTGCATGCGGCTGACCAAGGTTCAGTCCCCAGCACCCTATATGGTCCTTAGAACCTGCCAGGAGTATGAGCGCCTCTGGTGTGGCCCAAAATCAAAAAAGGGAGTGGGGTGGGGATTGGCGGGTTATAGAATATAATTTGCTTTCTGAGATGTTTGGTGCCCATGTAAAAATAGATGGTGAGCCTGCTGGAGCGATAGCACAGTGGGTAGGGCGTTTGCCTTGCACGCGGCTGACCGGGGTTCGATTCCCAGCATCCCATATGGTCCCCTGAGCACCACCAGGACTGATTTCTGAGTGAAGAGCCAGGAGTAACCCCTGTGCATCGCCGGGTGTGACCCAAAAAGAAAAAAATATATATGTGTGTATGTGTATATATATATTTATATATATAGTGAGGGGCTGAAGCGAAAGCACAGCAGGTGGGGCGTTTGCCATGCATGCAGACGACCCAGGTTTGATTCCCAGCATCTCATATGGTCCCCCGAGCACTCTTATCCTGAGTGCATAAGACGGGAGTAAGCCCTAAGTTTCGCCGGGTTGACCCCCCCCCAAAAAATAGGGGCCGGAGTACAGTGCATTTGCCTTTGCATGCGGCTGACCTAGGTTTGATCCCTGGCATCCTATACGGTATATGGTCCCCTGAGCACTGCCAGGAGTGGTTCCTGAGTGCAGAGCCAGTATATATAAATATATATAAACACATATATACATATGTAGCATAGTGGTAGGGCGTTCGCCTTACAAGCGGCCAACATGGCCGACCCGAGTTCGATTCCTCCGCCCCTCTCGGAGAGCCCGGCAAGCTACCGAGAGTATTCGATATGCCAGACACAGTAACAACAAAGTCTCCAATGGAGACGGTACTGGGCCCGCTCGAGCAAATCAACGATCAACGGGAGGGCCTTTACCTTTACCTATATACATATATGTGAGAGATTGTACAGGACTTAAGGCATATTTGCCTTCCTAGACGCAAATATGGTTTCAACTCAGATTCCATCCCTGGTACTGCATATGGCTGTCAAGCACCACCAGGGGTCGCTCCTGAGTGCCCATGTGTGCTTTCCTTTAGATTTTTGGCTTAGGGATAACATCATTGGTACTAAGGAGCTACTCTCAGAGGTGTTTGGGGGCCCATGTGATGCCAGAGATTAAACCTAGGTCTCACAAAGCAAAACCTGGGCTCAGTCTGTCTCTCCAGCCCCTTCAAGTCTGATTTTGTGTGTGTGTGTGTGTATTTGTGTTTCTGTATTTGTTGTCTGTTTTTTGGGGGGCTACACCTGGCAGTGTTGAGGGCTTACTCCTGGCTCTGTTCGCGGATCACCTCTGGCAGTGTTTAAGGGGTCCAGAGATTGAACCTGTGTCTACTGCACGCCAAGTAAATGCCCTATTTGTTGTACTATTTCTGTGATCCTTGGTTTCTTTCTTTTTTTTTTTCATAGCTGTGAATGAAGATGTGAGGGCACCTGCCTTGGGTGGCACCGCTTTGATGTGATAAAATAATTCAGTGGCTCCGCTGATAGACTCATTTCTTAATGCTTAGGAAGCTGGTCACCAGAATATAGGCAGCATATAAAGCTTTTATTTACTTATTGTTTTGGGGCCACACCCAGCAGTATTCAGGAGTTGCTCCTGGCTCTGCACTCAGGAATTATTTCTGGTGGTGCTTAGGGCACTATATGGGATTTCAGGGATTGAACCTGGCCACATGCAAGACAAATGCCCTACGCACTATACTATCACTCCAGCCCAGCACCCTAAAAGCTTTTAGAAGAAGCAAATAACTCACAAATGATGTGCTGCTTGCCTGGGAAACACACACACACACACACACACACACACACACACACACACACAGTCACTGAAAAGCCTGTAAGAATTTCATATGTTGGCCAGAGATGATACAGTGGGTAGGCCACTTGCTTTGCACGTGACCTACCTGGGTTTGATTCCTGGTGCCCCATATGGTTTCCTAAACCCTATTGGAAGTGATCCTTAAGCACAGAGCCAGGAATAAGCCCTTGAACATCTTGGGGGTTTGCCCCCTACCCCCTCATAGAAACATCTATAGGTTTTCATCTTTGATAACCAGCCAGGATACAGAGCAAGAGAGGTGCCGCCTTGTTGGTCAGTGTTCTGGTGCTCTATGCTCAATGCACAGCTGTAGTCCTGCATAAGGGTCCTGCTGAGACACTCTCCCCACCTAGTGTCCAGGGCTTTTTGCCTGGGACTTGTGCTGAGTTACTCAGGGTGGGGTAGGAGTGGGGCTTCAGGGTGGGCTTTTTGTGTGTACCTTTATTGATGACTACTTATCCAGGTGGGAGTATGGATTGACGTTGGCAGCCGTTGCGAGACCGAAAAGGAGAATGGAGCTGGCTACTTTGTGGAACATCTGGCATTCAAGGTGAGGCTACTGATGTCTTTCCTTTCCCTGCCTAGTGTGACTGTTCTCTCCTCATGATGCAGGCCAGAGAAGTTTGTACCTGAGTCAGGCACTTTGTTGGGGGCAGTCCCACTGGCACTTCTGGAAGGAGCCATATGGGCTTAATCTTCTGCCTGAGCATATATGTGAGGATTCCTCCTCTTCCCCAGAGAGGCCAGGCCTGTGTTGTGTGCATGCAGTGATGTGGAGTTGCCAAGGACGTGTGCAGGCATCATAACAGACAAGCCCACCAACGTGGCGTGCCTGGGCCTCTCTCGGTTGTAGAAGTGAGTGCTGAGCTGTCTTGAGGATAGGGCCAGTCAACTACCATGGCCTCTTGGCCAGCCCATGTCATGGAGATTGAGCTTTTTATTTATTTATTTTTTTAATTTATTGAATTGCTGTGGGAAAAGTTACAAAGCTTTCAGGTTTAGGTCTCGGTCATGCATATATCAGTCACATTTCCCTTTACCAATACTTATTTTTCACCACGAAGAACCCCAATAAACCCCCACCCCCCCATGCCTGTGGGGCAGATGAATTCTAGTTAACACTCTATCTACTTTGACTAGATTCATTGTTTCGATAAAAGTTGCACCATTATTATTTAGACTTTACCCCCTCCCCCCATCAGCCATGCTGAGAAAGCATTGTGAAATGATTTGCTTTCTACGCCTGGGTTCAAGAATTAAATGATGAAATGATGGTTTTGGATTTCTGCTATTTTACTTATTAGCCCTGGAAGTATTTCTACTGAGAGTCAGATAATTAAGAGATTGGTTTCTGTGCTCTGGAGTCATGGCTGTGTCAGAGGGCCGCTCGTGGGGGGCAATTGGTGACCTCGGTAGGGCGTGAAGGACGGGCCGGAAGGCCCCCCCCCCCGCCCCCCCATGAGGTTTCAGTCGCGCCCCACCCTCGGCTCATACCTGCTCTCCCCCATGCGGCCACCATCTTTCTTTCCAGAGAGGAGAGGGCGAAGGGGGCAACACCCTTTCCCCTCCGGGCAGGCATGATGGCCTGGATTAACGCATAGTCCTTTCGCTTTTCTGCTCCAAACTGCTGGTTTTCTGCATTAAGTCCTTGTGCTTCTGGGGCCGTGGCCATGCCGGAGAGCCGCTTGTGGGGGGTAACTGGTGACCTCGGTAGGGCGTGAAGGATGGGCCGGAATGCCTCCCCCCCCCCATGAGCCCATGAGGTTTTGAGACTGAGCTTTTTTGATGAGTGAACTTGTAGGTGGAGGAGAGAAGGGGTGGGTGGGGTGTGGAGCGGGAACACAGTCCTGCCAGCTATAGCTTCACCAACCGATGTGATGATGTCAACCACAGATTTGTGTGTGCCCCAGTGCTCAGCTTACGCACACACGCACACACACACACACACAGACATGGGCACACACATGCTCACACACGCAGGACCAGATCTGGGCCTCAGAGAAGAGGCAGCTAGATACATCCATTGGTAGCAAAACTGGAGCTGGTCCTGGCTGTCAGTAGAACGAAAGAAGGGGCAATACTGGTATACACAGACTGTGAGGAAACACTTAGTCCGGTCGTATCTTTATCTCCTATCCCTTGGCTGTCCCTGTTCTGTTGGCACATGATGGTGCAACCTTGGTCAGTTTAAGGTGCCAGATGAGCAGACTCATGACCTGATATTTGGGGCCACACCCAGTGGTGCTCAGGGGTCACGCCTGGCTGTGTTCAGGGCACTGTGGTGGTGCTAGCGAGTGAACCTGGGCCTTTTGTGTCTAGTCTGTTGAACTCTGGCCCTTGGTGGAACCTTAAGACTGTGGGGATGGGGGATTCTGGGCTCCCACATGTCCCTGATTGGTCTTTTTGATCATCTGGTTCCAGGGAACAAAGAATCGACCTGGCAATGCCTTGGAAAAGGAGGTAGAAAGCATGGGGGCCCATCTGAACGCCTACAGCACCCGGGAGCACACAGCATACTATATCAAGGCGCTCTCCCAGGATCTGCCAAAAGGTATCATTCTGAGGAGGGGGCAGGAATGGGGGGCTCAGACTCTAGGGGTGTAGAGCTTGGGTTCTCAGAGCCCCTGCTCAGGCCAGAGAGTGGTGCTATCTTGCGTACATGTGGACTTGGAGCAAGAGGTGCTGGGGGCTTGTGCCTTTACTGGTCTCCCAAGCCTTACCTGCTGCCCAAACCTGTCCTTGCATCCAGCCGTGGAGCTGCTGGCAGACATCGTTCAGAACTGCAGTCTGGAAGACTCCCAAATTGAGAAGGAGCGTGACGTGATCTTGAGGGAGCTGCAGGAGAATGATGCATCTATGCAGAATGTGGTCTTTGACTACCTGCATGCCACTGCCTTCCAGGGCACGCCTCTTGCCCAGCCTGTGGAAGGGCCGAGTGAGAACGTCAGGTGAGGTGTGCGGAGCCTGTCATTTTCAGGGATACTGTGGGATGTTGGAATCTTTTCATTTGTTTGGGGGCCACACCCACTAGTGATGGGAGCTGTTGCTGGTGTGCTACTGTGTTCAGAGGTCACTCCTGGCAGTGCTGGGGGACCATGCAGCACCAGGGATGGAAACTCAGCTTCCTGTGTGTAACTCATGTGCTGCAGTCCTTTGAGTCCTTTTAACGGCCACATTTTTGTTGGAATTAGGGTTTTTTTAGACTGTTTCTGATAGTCTGGAGTGGGGAGCTGGGCACCCCATCTATGCTGCTGCTTGTTCTCTGGTGGGGTGAGCTTGGATGCTGTCAAGAACTCCCCCAGTGTCAGAGTGGACACAGGCTGCCCTTCTGATCTGAGAGGGGAGAAGAAACCAGGGGTATTCTGGGCCTGGCTCTCCAGAGACACTGTTATCTTCCTATCTGTCTGCGCAGACCCACTCTCTGAGAGGAGAGCATTGAATCACTGTTTGGAGAGGTGAGGACCCTGTCTGTCTTGCAGGAAGCTGTCTCGTGCTGACCTGACCGAGTACATCGGCAGACACTACAAGGCCCCTCGCATGGTGCTGGCGGCGGCTGGAGGTGAGGAAAGTGTGCATTGCCAGCCATGGGTCACCGGATCCTGGGTCTCCTGGTCCTGAGCACGACGGGGGGGAGGAGGTGTCCCCTGCTGGGCTCCTCCTTTCACCTGTGCTTGCTAGGTAAGGTAGGAGTCTACACTGCCGCCTCTGGGACTGGCCACATGAGGATGCTGTTCCCCGCTGTAGGTGAACCTCAGCCGGCCTGCTGGGCTCTTCAGGCCCAGACCTTTATCAGTGCCCGGCCCCTCCCTGACCTAGGCTTGGGTTGCGCAGATGTGTGACACTGACCATTTGCCGCCTGGGGCAGAAGGGAGGGGAGTAGCAGGGAGGGGGTGGGGTGTTCAGCAAGGGGGAGATGAGAGAAGGCGCACTTTTGGAGTACATACTGTTTGGAAAGAGGCCCACAGTGGGGAGATTTAGTTACAGGCCAGAGGGGCTGGCAGGCAGCAGCATGGCTCACCTGATGGGCAGAAACTGGCCCTGCAGCCATATGGAGGTCTGTTGTTGAGAGCAGACATGGAAGGGCCACGAGTTGTGGGTGCAGGCTCTGTGGTGGGGTGCGGGCAGGGATATTTCTTCATGGTGAGGTGCGGGCAGGGGTGTTCCTCCATGATAGGGCATGGGTAGGGGTGCTCCTATATGATCAGGCATGAACTGGGGTGCTCCTTTGTGATGGGGCGCGGGCAGGGGTGCTCCTCTATTCGGCCATGGCAGCGGGGCAGACGAGAAAGAGCTGTGTTTGGACCCTTGAGGTCAGCAGTCCTGGAGACCAAGAGTAGTTTCAGCCCTGATCTGTCAGACTGTTGAGTCCAACCAGGTCTGAGCTCAGGAAAGGAGAGAAGGGGCTGAGGCACCAGTATCAGTCACCCAGGACAGTGCTCACAAGCCAGGGTGACAGCCCCAGGGGACATTGCTCACCAGCCAGGATGATGGTCCCCGAGGGGGTAGTGCTCTCCTGCCAGGATGACTTTCCCTAGGGGGCAGTGCTCTCCTGCCAGGGTAATGGCTGCAGGGGTGGCCTCTGGGCAGGAGGAGGAGAGGTGTCGCAGATTCCTCGGGGTCTGAGATTGGAAAAGTCTTTAGTTCTCGGGGTGGACCCCAGAATGAGTCACAGTTCTGCAGTAGCACCTTTTTGTCTCCTCTCCCTCACCACCCTCTACAGGGCAGCTGCCAGGATTTGCTTGAGGACTGGAGGGACAAGGAAAGGCAGAGCAGGTGGCCTAGTTAGTGCCCAGGGGGCTGCGGCCCTGTTCTCGATGCGCTGGCCAAGGGGTGGCAGCTGGTCGGTCCTGGACCCGTGAAGGATCCTCTCCTTTCACCTCTCCAGTGTCATGACTTGCTCATGTTTCCCACCAGACTGCACATGAGGCTGCTGGCCTGTATTTTTCATGGGAAGTAGGGGTGGCAAGGATTGAACCCAAGGCTTTATACCTATGAAGTATGTACTCTACCCCAGTGTGCTCAGGCAGCATAAGTGGTTCCGGGGATGGGACGGGGATGACTGCTGTTCGGTCAGCACTTTTTTTTTTTTTTTTGCTTTTTTTGGGTCACACCCAGCGATGCACAGGAGTTACTCCTGGGTCCACACTCAGAAGTTACTCCTGGCAGTGCTCAGGGGACCACATGGGATTGCTGGGAATCGAACCCAGGTCGGCCGCTTGCAAGGCAAACGCCCTACTCACTGTGCTATCTCTCCAGCCCCCTCAGTCAGCACTTTCACTCCTGTACTCTGTCCGGCCCCTAAAACATCTTTCTTGACAGGAGTGGAGCATCGGCAGCTTCTGGACCTGGCCCAGAAGCACTTCAGCAGCGTCTCTGGGACATATGCAGAGGACGCTGTCCCCGCCGTGACTCCATGCCGCTTCACGGGTAGCGAGGTGGGCAGGCTGGCGGCCAGGCAGGGATGTGCTTCGGGAGGACCCCTTGGTGCAAACTTGTCCCTCGAACTCCAGCGCTTGTTGGGAGGGGCCTGGGGCTGCTGCATGACACACACATGCACTCCCACATCCGCACACACTTCCCCCCAGACCTTTCCCTGGGTAGTCTTGTCTCCTTCAGCCTTGCCATGTGCTGTTTCAGATCCGCCACCGGGATGATGCCCTGCCCTTTGCCCATATAGCCATTGCAGTGGAGGGTCCTGGCTGGGCCAATCCTGATAACGTGACTCTCCAAGTGGCCAATGCCATCATTGGCCACTACGACTGCACCTATGGGGGTGGCAAGGTAAGTGCGAGGGCTGGGCAATGTGCCTTGCCTCTAGCAGAGAGGGGTGCTGTGTATTCAGTGTGGACGCGGGGCTATGCTGAGTACCCTTGTTTCTGGTAGCACCTGTCCAGCCCACTGGCTTCAGTGTCTGTGGCCAACAAGCTCTGCCAGAGTTTCCAGACCTTCAACATCTGCTACGCAGACACCGGCTTGCTGGGCGCGCACTTTGTCTGCGATGGGATGAGCATTGACGACATGATGTTCTTCCTGCAAGGCCAGTGGTGAGAGTCAGCGTGGCATTGCCGGGCCCTGGGGGACAGTGGCACGCCACAGTATGGAACACAGTGACACCATTAACCTCCCCTGCTTTAGGATGCGTCTTTGCACCAGTGCCACAGAGAGTGAGGTGGTCCGGGGCAAGAACATCCTCAGAAACGCCCTGGTGTCTCAGCTGGATGGTGAGTCTTGCGGACCTGTGGGGACCTTCAGGGCCAGTTCCTGAGATTAGAAAGGACAACTTCGGGTCACAGCACCTCCCCCCATCCATTCCCTTACTCCCACAGCCCAGCAAGGACTGGCACTGCCCTAAAGGGCCAAGTGGGGGCCAGACAAGCAACCCCGTTAGAGCAGTTGTTTATTTTGTGGAGGCAGTGGCTGGGACCAGAGCAGGTTTCTGGGTGGGCCAGTGGACCTGGAAGCCTGTCCTCATCCTGACAGGCACAACTCCCGTGTGCGAGGACATCGGACGCAGTATCCTGACCTATGGCCGCCGCATCCCTCTGGCCGAGTGGGAAAGCCGGATTGCGGTAACATGGGCTCCTGGGAAAAGTTCTGGGGTCTTCACCTGACACACTGCTAGAGGGTGGGGAGTGAGGCCTGACAGCAGAGACAGCCCTGGTGGCAGCAACCGTCACACATGGAGCTGGTGTAATTGGAGGGCGGGGCCCAGGGCTAGTGGCTGGCGTCGGGTGGGGCTTTGGAGGTCTCCAGCTGGCAGAGCCTCATAGCCTGCCTTCTGGGTGAGGGCTCCACCACGGTGCACATGGAAGTTCTTGGTCCACGTGGAAGTTGTTGGCCCACTGACTGACATTAGCTGGCTGGGGCTCCCCAGGGGCCCGTGAGTCACTGTCCTGTTCTGCTCTGCAGGAAGTGGATGCAAGTATGATCCGAGAGGTCTGCTCCAAATACTTCTACGACCAGTGTCCTGCAGTAGCGGGCTACGGTGAGTGGCCTGCAAGTCTGCTCTTTGTTCTCTCTGCAAGGATCTCTGCTTCCCCTTCAGCACCCCGCCCCATACCTGCCCACCACCCCCACCCCATCCACTCTGAAGGCAGCAAGTTGAGGCCCCCAAGAGGCTCAGCCCAAGAGCCTGGCTGCCAGGGAGTTCTTGCTCAGAAAACCTGTCCCAGCAGCTCCCTGTCTCCCTGCCAGGGTGCCTCCATCGGTGCCCCACACCCGCCAGGTAACGGATACCTGCACAGGTGGGGTGGGGCTTCCAGGGCCAGGCATGAAGAGACAGGCTCGCAGCCCTGCGGGAATGTTCTCTCCCCTCTTTCCACTCAAAGCCTGTCTTGTGCTGCTCTGGGCAGCTCTGAATTGGGTGTGGCTCAGGGCCAGGTGTCCCTGCACAGGCCAGGGGCCCCACCCTGACGCCCTGCCCTATCCCTACAGGCCCCATTGAGCAGCTCCCAGACTACAACCGGATCCGCAGTGGCATGTTCTGGCTCCGCTTCTAGGCAGGAAGCCTCTGCAGACAAGAAGGAGGCCCAGGTTCACTCACTCCCCCCCCCCAAAAAAAAAAATGAAAACCACGGCACCTCAGCACACCAAGCCCGTGCTGCAGGGTCTGCACAATAATAAAGTCTTGTCTTCAGAGCCATGTTGTCTGTCTTGGGTTGACATGCAGTCTATGGGCAGTGGTTTGGGGCTCGGGGACTCTTGATTCTGCACCCCTGAATGCTCTGCCTTCCTATGGGCTGATGTGGCCTCAGCAAGGGGCAAGTGCGGGGGCTGCGCACCAGGCGGAAGCCTTTGATGCTGGTAAGCTGAATCCAGATGTTTCCACTTAATCACTTAGTCTGTCCTGAGAGGGTTGTGGGAGGGACCCCACATCGGAACTGTGACTCCAGCCATGGGATGACTCCAACCATGGAATCTGGGTGGGAAGCCCCTCTCTCTGGACACCAGCTAACACTCACTGTGGTCCTTATACCCCTGGATGGAGCGGGAAGGGCCAAGGGCTGCTGAGGCCCCTTTGTGTGTGTTTATACTCTGGATTCTGGGAGGAGGGTAGCCTGGGGCATAGTGTTCCCATTTGCTCCATAACTGCTGCCTGCACAGGCAGGGCAAGAATCTTTTGCCTTCTTAGGTCGCTGACTCAGGCTCCAAGAATATCCCTGAGCTCAGTGGGGCCGGAGCCCCCTCCCTTGACTAGGTCTGTCCCTGACAAGTCCTGAGCTGCGAGCCTGGTGATTCCTTCTCCATCTTCTGGAGGGCAGGACTTGATGGAGCTCAGCTGTCTGATCCCTTAGGTCCTGTTCCCAAGGTCAGTGGGCAAATAGATATAACCCCCTTGCCCCCAGCTTTTTCAAGGTGAAGAGGTACCTGAGTGCCAGGGTACAGATGGGAATGAGTCAGTTGTGTGAGGAAGGTGCTTGCTGGCAATTTCGAGTAGTGTCCTGGGACAAGGATTGAGGGTTATTCAGAAGACCCCCTAATACCCCAGCTTCACAGCAGCTAAAACCAGCATTTCTCAGATGGTGGAGGGTCATAAGTTCTCATGTGGGCTCCCAGGATACTCCAAGTAGGCCACCAAACCGGACAGGCACACTGGTGGGATGACCACAGAAAGGAGACAAGGTGGAAAGGGGGGTCACAGCTGGAAAAGTTTGAAAAAATGCTGGCCCTGCAAGTCCTTCCTACTCTACCCCAAGCTTTGTCCCTTGTGTTTGCTTCCTTGTTCAGGAAATAACTGTCAGTGCTTTCTAGAACCCAGGCCCAGGGACCTTCAGTCATTCTGTTTGGTGACTGGAGAGTGCAGAGCTCTGACAGGCCTGGCCATGGGTACTGGGAGGTGGGGACCAGAAGGCCGGGGAGCAGCAAGGGCCAACTGTGGTCCTGAGTTAGAGCTGGAGGCTGAGACCTGCCCTCAGCCAGGGGGTGTGTCTGCCCAGGAGAGCTCTTGACTGCTGGAACCAATGGATTCCTGGCTGGGGTTCCTGGCCGGTGCAGCCAGGGAGTAGACCCCTTCCTCCAGAGGCTTGTAGAAGGGGACGTTGGAGGTGCAGAGAGCAGTGATGGAGAAACTTCAGAGCATCCGAGACCCTTAGGCTGGATTTCTATGGCACCGGAAGAGCTGCAATGGCAGAGCAGAGGTCAGAGCTGTAGGAAGAGCTGGGGTGGGCTGCAGATGGCACAAGTTGGGGCCATGGGTTGTGCCCCACATGGCCTGCTGGGATGGGAGGCTGGCACCCTTTTCTTTGGGGAGAATCCCATGGCTCTGTTGAGGTTTGCCTGACCAATCCCTGAGAGGCTGGCCCCATTCCCATGAGAACGAGGTCATAGTTGCTGGTTTGGCCTATTTCTCACCCACCATTGCTGTCCAAGAGATGAGGGTCTTGGGGGAAGCTCTGTGTCCCTTCCCTGAAGGTTCATGGGGTGGGGGATGGGGTCCTGGAACACAGCTAAGACCAAGGCTGGCAGATGACAGCTCCATCTAAGGCAAATACAAGACGGGCTGTTCTGGGGTACCAACCTCTGTACTACAATGAGACAGCAGGATGTGCCTCAGTGTCCCAGCTCTGACCATAACCAGACACTCAGCGCTGCACAACTGGGGGCTGAGCACCCCCATTCCTCCCTACTCAGTCATGAGTCCTCAGGGGAAACTGGGGGGTCCCTAGGTGGCAGTTCTCAATGCATGGACTCTCTGGGCATCCCAGAATTATCCAGAAGTGGCAGATTTTGGGACTCTGAGAGGATGTCACCTTGGTGTCACCTATAAGGAACACATATGCACTCAAAAAGGTGTCTGCCCTGGGGGACGAAGGGGTCTGACAGTTTACAGGGATGGGAAGTAAAGTCTGGGGGCGGGGGTGGCAGAGGCATGCAGCAAAGGCAGTAAGGAGTAAAAAGGCAGAAGTTACAAGTGGGCCAGGAGGGCAGAGAGCAAAGGAGGTTGACCACACTCTGGACCCAATGGATTCCTGGCTGGGGTTCCTGGCCGGTGCAGCCAGGGAGTAGACCCCTTCCTCCAGAGGCTTGTAGAAGGGGACGTTGGAGGTGCGGAGAGCAGTGATGGAGAAACTTCAGGGGTTCCTGGGGTTAGGAGGGCCTAGGGGAAGGCTGGGTGGAAGGGGAGGCTCAAGAGTTTAAGTTTATCAAAGTAAGGCAGAGAAAGATAAACACTGATTTCACTCATGTGGACACAAAGAAACAAAAAGGAACTAAAGAAAACAAGAACAAACTTTTAGGGGCCAGGGGACATAAGAGTGGTAAGCACTCAAAAGGGTGGGTGTGGGGCAGTAAAAAATGGATAAAAGGAGTTAAGGGTATGGTGAAGGATGGAAGCAGAATTCTGGTTGGAATTCTGGCAAGATCAGGCTGCAGATACAGAGGACACCTGCCCCATCTGTAAAGCTGGAAACCAGCGTCTTACCACTCAGGGGCGGAGGAAGAGGAGGTCCCAGGAAGGGTCTCGAGAGGGGTGCGCCCAGAGCAGCCCAGATCCACCAATGGCGACACAGAGTAGGTGGATTCCTGGGACATGAGCTGTCCCTGTGGGTGGTCCCCCTCCACACACAAACAGCCCCCTGGCCCCCCATCCCAGCGTTTATGGCATGGTAGGGCTGTTGGGGTGCAGGGGTGGGCCTGGAGGCACAAACACAACAGATTCCTTTAGGTATCCAGATCGCCCTGAGGGGGGAGAGGTGAGCATGACTTGGAAGCCATCCAAGGGACCGTTGGTTTCCGGGAGAAGCCCCCGAAATTCTTCATTTGTTGGCCTGTGAGGGATTAGGTGGGGCCCAGGAGGCCCCAGACAAGCCAAGTCTGAATCACAGGAATGGCCAGCGGCGGGACACTTGGCCTGAGGGCTTGTCTGGGCACCCCCATCGATGGGCTGTGAGTCATCTCCAGCTGCTGCCCCCCCCACGCCCCCCCCCACCATCCTGTCCTCTTTTTCCCCAAGAACCTATTCCAGTCCCAGCCCCCATTTGCGCTTCACTTTGAAACCCTATGGCAGCCTTGAGAGCTGACCCCAGCAGGGCTTGGAAGGGGACCCCTAACGCGACTATCCGCAGAGAACTTCTGGGGGATTTCCTGGAGCGATAGAAAGTGTGGGGGGGGAGGGGGGTTTACATTTTAAGAGAAGTCAGATCACAGGGCGGGGGTGGCGACCTCTGGGATGGTGGGCGGGGGCGGCCGCCTGGGTCCCCGCCCGCCGCTCCGCCCCCAGGGACCTGGGACTTTTCTTGGCGGTGGCGGCGGGGGCTGCAGCGGCGGCTGCAGGAGCCGGCGGACTCGCGCAGGCAAGATCGGGTCTGGGGTGGGAGCTGGCAGTGCCCAAGGACAGAGGCGCGGGGCTCTGACCGGCCCCTGCACGCAGGATGAGGCTGCGGCTCCTGGTGGCCGCGCTCTGCGCGGGGATCCTGGCAGCGGTGCCCCGCGCGCGGGCCCAGCACCCGGACAGAGGTGGGCATGGCAGAGAAGGACCCCGACCCGGACTCTGCGCCGCGTGCCCCGCTACTCCCCTGGCCTTCTCCCCAGTCCCTGGCCACCTCCCCTCGTCTCCCCCCAACTCACCCCACATCCCCCGGGGCGCTCACTGTCGCCTCCAAACCGCTCCGAACCTTTCCGGACTCCGGTTCTGGCTCTCACATGCTCGCTGCGCCCCCGCTCTGTCACCCGGCACCGGTCCCTCCAGGCCAAATTAGTCCCAGGTCCACATCCGCGCTGGCGACAATCTCGCCCCTACAGTGTGGGCAGGAGGGGGTGCTCGGCTTCCCGGCAGTGCACCCCCAGACGCGCGCGCCGCACCTGGCCTGGCTGGTTCCCCGCCCCCCGCCCCCCAGTCCGTGGGACCCCGGGGCGGGGCGGGGGGCTGGCCTCGGAGAAGAGGCGCCCACCTCTCCCGCTCGCCCCAGTGACCTGCACGCGCCTCTACGCCGCGGACATCGTGTTCCTGCTCGACGGCTCCTCGTCCATCGGCCGCAGCAACTTCCGCGAAGTGCGCGGCTTCCTGGAGGGGCTGGTGCTGCCCTTCTTGGGGGCGGCCAGCGCTCAGGGGGTGCGCTTCGCCGCAGTGCAGTACAGCGATGACCCGCGGTGAGTGGGGGCCCCAGAGACCCGTCAACCCACCAGAATTCCTCTGCTGACTGGGGAGCACGCCCCACCCCCTGCCCACCACCTCCTCTGCAGTCAGGCAGGGTCTGGAGGTCGAGCCAGGCCAGCACAGAGAGGGGCCTCACTCACTGTGACAGGGAGGGGTACTGCAGAACAGGTGCCCTGTCCTGTGCTCCCCATGTTCCAGCCTTCTGAGCCCTCAATCTGTCCACTCACCAGGGGGCTTCCCTGTTTGGCCAATGTCCACCTCCTTTGGCCAATGTCCACCTCCCTTCACAACCGGGCCTTCCTTCTTCCATGGTTAAGTACCAGACATGCTGCACCCCAATCTCACCCAGACTGTGATGCTGCCCTGTGGTAGGCACAGCCATAGGCAGTACACAAGGCAATCCCTGAGGGTAGGACACTTGACTTGCACAGTTGACACAGATTCAACCCCTGGCACCCTATGTGGTCCCCAGAGCCC